GTTGGAAAGGCTATGATCCTTCCGAGGATACCTGGGTACCTGAACACGACATGGATAACGCCCGCCGACCTCTCCAGGACTACCTTGTCAAGCAGGGTGTTACTTCTACCACCCAGCTTTGAGGGGGGGAAGTGTGAGAGGACGTCCCCGTTATAATATTTTCTCACTATTATATTTTTCCGTTATCCTATTCTCCCTTTTCTCCTTTTTATTTTGGTCTTTACCTCATCTCAATCGGCCTACTATTCTATTTTCTAGAGCCTTCTATTTATTTCTCTTATTTCCTACTTTTCCCACCGACATACCTATTATACGGCACCGACAGCGCCAACAGTGGTGTATACGGTGTAATCTGGGCATAATCCCAAGTGCCAATAGCCTTGCGTGCTTGTGCGCACTTGTGATTGTAGTATCGGGAAGGGCGTGTTCCCGAAGGTTCGTTTTATCTCGTTTATCCTTTCATTTTCCGAGTATAAAAATGCCTTGTATTCAGTTTTAGTGACAAGTTTCGATTGAGAATTCGATCCTGTGACAGCAGTGGTCAGCGTGTACAGGCTCGACCCCGGCCGACGTGTAAATGTGGCTAGGTGTCGGCCTGTCCGAGCGTCCGTGGAGTGGGTCACCCGCTAACTCGCAGGAGTGAACTGGTGAACCCCCGCATCCTGTAGGTCAGCACCACTCACCAAGTTCGTAGAGAACGAGGGGAGGTAAAGACCAGACAGGGTGCCAGAGGGGGCCGCCGGACACGGGAGGACAGTGGAGAAGTGAGCAAGGACAGGACCCCCAGAGGGGTCTGCCAGAGAGACTGCAACTGGCCGACCAAGCGGCGTGAGTGTGGTGCGGTCTCGAAAGAAGGAGCGGGAAGCCCTTGAGTCAAGAGTGAAGGTGTGAGAGGCCGGAGCCGACGCGGTACCTGAGAGAGCAGACTCACCCGCACCTGAGTAAGCAGACTCACTAGCACCTAGAGCAGCAGCCGCACCTGTACCTGGAGCAGGAGACTCACTAGCACCCAGAGCAGCAGCTAGAGCAGCAGGCTCTATACCCGGGTCAGGCGGTACGCACAGGTGACCGGCACGGTCAGCACTAGTAGGCAATGCATACATGGCAGTGTGAATAGCATCATAGTCAAGAGCAAATATATCTACCCTCTGCCTAAGCAACTCCACCCAGTCGGGGAGCTCAGCCTCGTCGCCAAACTCGGTACGCCAGGCGTCGCTCAGACGGGCGAAGCAGCGGGACTGTGTGTGACTAGGTGTCCCACAAGGCTGACCAGTCCGAGCACCAGTGCGAATCACGTAAGAGCAGCGAACAGAACTGAGAGACCCTCTACTCTGAGCGTACCACTCACGAAGCTGCTGGGGCGTGAGAGACGCGCGTGGGCGTCGCTGGAGCTGCATCTGGCCGCCGCCAGTAGTAGTAGCAGCAGTAGTGGTAGCAGTAGCAGCGCTGCCACCCCTACAAACCCAACCAGCGTACCACTCACGCAGCTGCTGGGGCGTGAGGGACTCACGCGGACGTCGCTGGGGCTGCATCTGGCTCCGCCAGTAGAAGCAGGAGCAGGGGTAGCAGCAGTAAGGCAGGCAGCCAGGCAGGCCGAAAGGCAGGCAGGCAGGCAAGCAGGCGGCGGGCAGCGCGCTAGCAGGGCAGGGGCTCACCAGTGGTGGGAAGAGCAGGCTCGGCGACTCGGCGGTGCGGGCGGCTCAGGCGGCTCGGCGGCACGGCGGCTCGGCAGCAACTGCGGCTCGGCGGCTCGGGCGACTCGGGCGGCTCGGCGGCAACTGCGGCTCGGCGACTCGGCGGCTCGGGCGGCTCGGGCGGCTCGGCGGTACGGCGGCTCGGCAGCAACTACAGCTCGGCGGCTCCGCGACCCGGTGGCTCGGGCGGCTCAGGTGGCGCTGCGGCTCGGGCGGCTCGGGTGGCTCGGGCGGCTCAGTAGCAGCTCAGCGGCGTCGGCGGCTCGGTGGTGACGGCGGGGCCGCTTGGGGACGGCGGCGGGGCCGGGTGGAGCGGCGACGGGGCGAGCAGAGGTGGCGCCGGGGCCGCAGGGTAGGTGACGGGGCCAGCAGAGGCGGCGCCGGGGCTGGGAAGGGCGGCGCCGGGGCCGCAGAGGTAGGCGACGGGGCCAGTAGAGGCGGCGCCGGGGCCGGTAAGGGCGGCGTCGGGGCCAGCAGAGGTGGCGTCGGGGCCGGGAAGGGCAGCGCCGGGGCCGCAGGGGTAGGCGACGGGGCCAGTAGAGGCGGGGCCGGGTCGGGAAGGGCGGCGTCGGGGTCGCCGGGGTAGGCGACGGGGCCAGCCGAGGTGGCGCCGGGGCCAGGAAGGGCAGAGCCGGGGCCGCAGGGGCAGGCGACGGGGCCAGCAGAGGCTGGGCCGGGTCGGGAAGGGCGGCGTCGGGGTCGCCGGGGTAGGCGACGGGGCCAGCCGAGGTGGCGCCGGGGCCAGGAAGGGCGGAGCCGGGGCCGGGATGGGCGGCGCCGGGGCCGCAGGGGTAGGTGACGGGGCCGCTAGGGCGGCGGATCGAGGCCGCGAGGGCGGCGCGACGCGGCCGCTAGGGCGGCGCGACGAGATGGGGCCGCGACGGGACAGCGAGGGGTCGCGCGCGGCTCCTCTGGGCGCCGCGACGGGGTAGCGGGGAGTGGCGCGCCTAGAAGGAACGGGGCCGCGCGCCTCGCGGCGCGCGCCAGAGAGAAAATCAGTAGCGCGCCGGCGAGATGAAAAATAGGTCGCACGCCACGGGGCGTGCGACAGATCGAGTAGCAGCGGAAGCAGTAGTAGGGCCCACAGGCCAGGAGCATATGTGCTCTGAAACCATGTGAAAATGAACGAGAATGAATGCAGTATGAAAGAGTTGGGTACAAGTACTAACCCTAATTGGGTTGTACCCTATATAGGCTACCCCACTATAGCCTACACAAAAGCATAAGCTATAATGTTCTGACACCGTCGACCCGCGCGCCGCCCCAGTGGACCAGCGCACCGCCCCGCGCCCCCCCACGCGCGCTGCCCTGTGGCTCCCGCGCGCCGCCCTTGCCCTCGTGCGCCGCGGAGCAGCTTTCTCCCCGCACACCTGAGTTCGCTTCCCGCACGCCTGAGCTCGCTTCCCGCACAACTGAGCTCACTTACTGCACACCCGAGTTCGCTTCCCGCATGCCTGAGCTCGCTTCGCGGACACCTGAGCTCGCTTACCGCACACCGGTAGGGTATGGGGGTGGCTGGTATGGGGGTGGCGGGTGTGTGAGCCGTCCCCTGCTCCTCCTCCTCCTCCGTCTCCCACTGCTGCAGCTGCCGCTGAGGGGGGTGGGTGTGTGGGAGCCGAGGGAGTGGCGCTAGGGGGGTGTCGTGGGAGTGGAACTAGGGGTGCAGCAAGGGGTGTGTGGAAGGGGTGTGGGACAGTTGGGGGAGGTTGAACGGAGGTAGCCGTCGTGACGTCAGCAGCGCCAGTACTCTGGGGGTCACCCTTGCTCCGGTAGCCCAGCGAGCTTGCTGCGCCGATCGCCCGTGGGTCCATTGCTCCAGCCGCTCGTCTTAGCCGCGGAGCCAGTGACTCCAGTAGTCCGGATACCCTTGCTTGTGTCCGGTAGCCCGTGCGCGCCGCTCCTGTTGCCCGTGTGTCTGCGGCTTCACCTGTGGCCTCCTATCTCCACTCCTCTCACAGTCCTTCCTCCTCCTCACTTGCCCTCTGTGGCTGCCTCTAGTTTTGCTTGTGCTTGTGAACTTTTTATGCGACTGCTTGCTGTGCTGATCATACCCCACTTTGACTATGGGGGTGTGTCAGAATGTTATTATTCTCTAGTTTGCAGTGGGGTACTCTATAGAGAGTACAACCCTGTTAGGGTTTGCTATATGTATCCCATTGTTTGCTAGTGAAACCCCTCTTCTTCTGTTCTCATTCTTGCTTTCCTCTAGACAAGAACCTAGGCTAGGGTTTCTCCTATGCCTAGGTATGTCTACTATTTTGACAAACCCAGTACCACGTGCGCAACAATTCGTCGAGATCTTACAGGCAACCCAGACTTGAGTAGCAAACGCCATAAAATAGTCAAAAGCCACCGCTAGACGCAACGCCGATCGCCACCGCCGCCCCGTCACTTACCAGCCCGACGACCTTGCACTGCTCGACACCCGGAACCTTAGCCTGCCCATAGCCCCAAAATTTTGGCCCCGATATTGTGGGCAATTTTGCATCAGCCATATGGTAATGCCCGTCACCGCCCACCCCCTCCTGCCTGCTGACTGGTACGTCATCCCATCCTTCCACGTCAGCCTCCTCCGCCCCTACGTCCTATCGACAAGCCAATTACCACGCAGCCGGCCATCCAGCATGACGCGACCACCTACTAAGCATGTCACCCCTAAATTTCCAGGATGTACGGTACACATAATTTCGTAAGGGAGCCTCCTTGTGGTGGGGGGTAGTTTAAGGAAAACTATTCTTGCTTACTTCGCGCCCCTGCTTACCGCGTACATGACTGTTCCCGCCAACAGCACCCTACAGCAAAACACTACCGTTCGCAACACTTGTATCATCCACTGTTCTTGACATTGTTCACATCGCGACCCAACCTCCTGGTTCGGTTGGTAACCCGCGCTCCGGCCCTCCGCTCCGCCTCGACAATTCCCAACCTCGGCACCAGGCCCTTCGCGCACCACATCCCCGCGCACTACCGTTACCACGATAGCTTTCACTATATAAAGCTTCGCTCATTGCACTCTTGCTTCGATAGTGCAATCTTCGTTCGCTCACTCAATTGCACTCATAACATTTTTCTTCACATGGGGATTTGTGAAAAAAAAATGGTGAAATGCTAAAAAAAAACAAAATCGTTCACAATAAAGCATTCAACAACAGGTCAGTGTTAATAAACACTACGTACGGTACAAGAAATCAGGTGTGTTGTCAACGGACAGATGAGAAGCTGAGACAAAACACTCGAGACAAAAAAAAAAAAAAAAAAAAAAAAAAACCTAAATAAACAGAACTGCACAGTGCCTACAAGTTACAATTATCTCATCCCAAAGCACTGCACATGGAACGCATCTGGGCAATGGGGCGCTAGGCACCGCCACGACAGCCCAACCCCGTACGACCGGCAACCAGAGCACGTGAACCCCTGCTGCTGCTGCATCAGCTTCACCCTGTGATTGGTCCACCTGTCCACTGCTTCCACTGCAGCGAGGGAAGCTTCCAACGTCCGCATGTCGCTCATCAGCTTGTCCACCTGCTGCTGCAGCCGGTTTGTTGCGTCGGTCCATGCAGCCTGCATGCACAATGGGCACAGAGCAGACGTGGAGGGGGGGAGGGGGGAATGGGGGGAGATGGGGGGAGAAAAGGGGGAGAAATGGGGAATTAAGGGGGAAATGAAGGGGAGAATGGGAGGGGACGGGGAACGGGGGGAGCGGCAGGAAGGGGTGGGGGGGGGTGGTGGAGGGTTTTGGGAGGGGAAGTGGGGAGGAGGGGAGGTAACAGTGTGTAGAGAAGGGAGGAGGGGTGGAGGGAGAGGAACACGAGGAAACGTTGGAGAGATCCTCAAGGGTAGAAGCAGGCGATGATGAAGTATGGGAGGAAGTATGGGAGGACGATGCAAATGAAGATGAGGACAAAGGCATTGGTTGTTGCGTGGTGAAGGAATCTCAGCCCTACCTTTCCCCACCGATAATTCTCCACATCTTTCCCTTCCCTCTCACAAACTCCCTCCCTGTTCCACCCCGTCCGCTCATTGCTTCTTCCCATATCTCCGCCCCTTCGTCACTCTTGCGCAAGGCTCTGTGAATGATCATACCACATCAGTTGATATCCGCGATTGCAGCTGCTGCTGCTGGGCCACTGCGGCCCTCGCCTGATGCAATGTGGTGAGAGATAGAGCACGCGCAGTGGGGGAGTGAGGGCGGAAATGAGGGAGGGAGGGAGGGGAGAAGTGAGGGGAGAGGAAGGGAAGAGGAAGAGGGAGACAGGGGGGGGGGGCGGGGGAGGGGGGGAGGAGGTGAGAGGGGGAGATAGAAAGAGAGGGGTGGAGTGAGAGTGTGAAAGAGAAGAGAGGCAATATATTGACAGGTAAGACTACAAGTGGTACCCTTTCAACCTAGGAATCGAATTGAAACAGATGGGCACTAGCAGCAGGCAGGGGCAACAGCTATGGGAACTAATGCCTTTAGATGCCCAAACCAAACCACTGATGCTACGGGTTGCACCCAAAGATCAGTCCTACAGTCCAACCAATCACTCTTCCACAGCCTAACTGATGCTCAGCCTCAAGACCACGTGCAACGACCAGGCCACCCTTTACAGTCAGCCTCCCCTCCCGAACCAATTAGGCCCCCTCACGGCACTAGCAGGCAGGATCCCCTCGCAACCCCGCCTCACTCACCTTGCTCTGCTCTGCTTCAGCTGCCTCTTTCAGCCTCTTCACCTCCTCTATTGCCCGCTGGTGCTTCTCCTGCACCATTGCCTGCAGTGGGGCGAGTAGGGTACATACACAGAGACATAATCCGCAGTTGCTTATTAAGCAACTCAACACTCATCCACCAGTGGGCAGCAGGACAGAAAAGGAGCGGAGCATCGCAAGTGGCATGTTGCTGCGGTGCAGCCAGTGCAGGCAGCTAATGCTTGCTGGTGCTTCTTTGATGTGATGCGATAATGAGATGAGATGAGATGAGATGATATCAGATGCAACAAGATGTCATTTCATGTCATGAGATGTGACGAGATGTGACGAGATGTGTGGGATGTGACGAAATCTGATGTGATGTGATGTGATGTGATGTGATGTGATGTGATGTGATGTGATGTGATGTGATGTGATGTGATGTGATGTGATGTGATGTGATGTGATGTGATGTGATGTGATGTGATGTGATGTGATGCGATGTGACGTGATGTGATGTGATGTGATGTGATGTGATGTGATGTGATGTGATGTGATGTGATGTGATGTGATGTGATGTGATGTGATGTGATGTGACGTGATGTGCTGTGATAAGAGGTGGTCCATACCAGCTGAACCTTCATCTCAGCAATCTGCTTCTTCTCTGCCTCGCTGCTGCTGACGTTGTGCCTTGATGCCACTGCAGCCTGAGCAGCCTTCTGTCAGATGCAAGGCAGGCAGGCAACACAATGGGGAGAGAGTTAGAAACGAGTGATAGTGGCTATTGCAGTGAGTACTGAGGATAGGTGTGTGCGCATGTCTACGCAAGCATTCATGACCCTACGATTCTGTTTGTTTCTTTGTTTGGTTATTTGTTTGTTGGTTATTTTTCTGTTATTACTATTTTATAATAATAATAATAATAATTATTATTATTTTCTAATAAAAACGTGTGCATGTGCACAATACGCACCGCCAGTTGTGCGCGCAGGTAATCAATCTCCTCCTGAGCCTTGGCAACTTGGGCCTTGGAGGTGGAGGATGTCTGAAGTAGAACATACACACAAGCAAGCACACACACACATTCACACACGCACATACACATGCGACAAGGGGTGCACATATGTAGGGAAGAACCATAATTTTGGAGCGCTTGGAAAACTCATCAGCGCAAACAAACAAACAAGCAAGCAAAAAACACGCAAGCAAACACGCAGCGAGGGCCACACATGCAGAGGACAGGGAACGCACCAGGACCGGGGCACTTCAATCAAACATGCATGCAACGGAGGAGCACGCACAGCAGGCCTAGAAGAACCACGGCTGGGGCTCGACCATTGGTTTAGGCAGCCGTCTGGGCTCGAGATTTGAGTCAGTAAGCAAGAAAGGATGGTTTCCCAAAAAAAAAAAAACCGAAAATACAAGATTCCGAGGGCCTAGTGCTCATCGGCCTTCCCAGTCCCTTCCGTCACCCCTCTTCTCCCCCCCCTCAGCTCCCTCCAATCTCCCCCCTCTCCCATCTCCCCTAAACTGTCCCTTCCCCCACCCCCCCATCCCCACTCCTCACCTTCCCCCCCCCCCTCTTCCCACTCTTCCCTCTCTCCCCTCTCTTCCCCCTCTTCCCCCTCTTTCCCCTTCCCCCCCCCATTCCCTCTCACCCCTTCCTGCATGCACCTCAGCAGCGAAGCTCTGCAGGTGGCGGATGTTATTCGGTTGTTCCGCCACCTTCCTCTCTAGCTCTGCACGCTGCTGCTCTATCCACGCCCCTTCCTTCCCCCACCCATCCCCCCTTTTCCCCCTGTACGCACCTCGGCAGCGAAAGACTGCAGGTGGCGGATGTTGCTCTGCTGCTCCGCCACCTTCCTCTCTAGCTCTGCCCGCTGCTGCTCTGCCTGCCGCTGCTCCTCCTGCATCGCCGCCACTTTCACTGCCAGCACCTCCGCCTTGTCCTGCGCCTGTGGAATATATAGGGTATGACAGGAGTAGGGCGCATGAGCAAAAACGGTAGCTTGAGTTGAGCTAAGTTACTTGCGTCACTGCCAGCACCTCCGCCTTGTCCTGCGCCTGTGGAATGACCAAACAATGAGAGAGGTTCAGGCGCAGAGAGGAAATCATGAGAATCCAAAAAAAGGGGCACATGAAGGGACAGCGCCGCCACCTTCACTGCCAGCACCTCCGCCTTGTCCTGCGCCTGTGGGGGGAAGGAGAGAAGCGGGGCACGTGAGCAGAAGCAGTAGCTGAGTTGAGTCTAGCCCTTGCCTTCACTGCCAGCACCTCTGCCTTGTCCTGCGTCTCAGCTCATGCGGGAATCTGTTTTTTTCGGAAACTCTGAAAAAAAGGGGGCTTTTTGCCCTGCGCCACGCCAGGTCATGGGAAAAGCCTTTCGAGGCGCCTCAAAGCACATGGGGGGAGCGCATGGGGGGGAGCGCATGGGGGGAACACATGGGGGGAGCGCATAGGGGGAACGCATGGGGGGAGCGCATGGGGGGAGCGCATTGGGGGAGCACATGGGGGAAACGCATGGGGGGAGCGCATGGGGGGAGCGCATGGGGGGAACGCATGGGGGGAGCGCATGGGGGGAGCGCATGGGGGGAGCGCAAGGGGGGAGCGCATGGGGGGGAGCGAATGGGGGGGAGCGCATGGGGGGAGCGCATGGGGGGAGCGCATAGGGGGAACGCATGGGGGGAGCGCATGGGGGGAGCGCATTGGGGGAGCACATGGGGGAAACGCATGGGGGGAGCGCATGGGGGGAGCGCATGGGGGGAAAACATGGGGGGAGCGCATGGGGGGAGCGCATGGAGGGAGCACATGGGGGGAGCGCATGGGGAGAGCGCATGGGGGAATCTCATGCAGTTTCCTCGCATTGACCTACTTCTGTGTGCACGTGTGCGCCCGTGTGTGCATGTGTGTGCATGTGTGTGCATGTGTGTGTGTGTGTGTGTGTGTGTGTGTGTGTGTGTGTGTGTGTGTGTGTGTGTGTGTGTGTGTGTGTGTGTGTGTGTGTGTGTGTGTGTGTGTGTGTGTGTGTGTGTGTGCGTGCGTACGTGTGTGTTTGCTTGTGTGTATGTGTGTGTGTGTGGGTCTCCGTGTGTGTTCTTTGGTTTGTTCTTTGTTCTTTGTTCTTTGCTTCGATTATATAGTTACTTGAACACAAGCATATGGAGCAACGAACAAGGCAGGCCTTAAAGCCACGTGGTAAACAGCAGAGACCGGCAAGCAAAGCAGCACTAGACATTTCTAAAGGCCCACATTTCATTGCAAGGTGCAACTCCTCCTGATGATAGTAACTCACTTCACTTCACTTCACTTGACATGCTTCACTTGAGCAGCACCGCTCTTAGCTGCTGCTTTCCTTTCCGCCCCCCAGCCCCACTGTCGTTTCACACTCACCTGCTGCCGCAGCTCCTGCTCCTTCAGCAGCACCTCCTTCCCCACGCTCCCCTGTGCCTGCATGAATGATCAGAATCATTACCACACCTCACACAAAATGACAGAAATTATAATGGGCCAAAAAGCATATAACGGAGGGACATTAAGTAAAGCAGGAGAGCAGGAAATCTGCTGCTGAGCGTTTGCTAGGACATTCACACCACATTTGCAGATTCCACAATAACTAAAGGTTATCTATACAAACCTTACTTCCTCGGTGAACACTTTTGTTCCCTCCCATTCTCCCTCCCTCCCTCCCTCCCTCCCTCCCTCCCTCCCTCCCTCCTCCCTCCCTCCCTCCCTCCCTCCCTCCCTCCCTCCCTCCCTCCCTCCCTCCCTCCCTCCCTCCCTCCCTCCCTCCTCCCTCCCTCCCTCCCCTCCCTCCCTCCCTCCCTCCCTCCCTCCCTCCCTCCCTCCCTCCCTCCCTCCCTCCCTCCCTCCCTCCCTCCCTCCCTCCCTCCTCCCTCCCTCCCTCCCTCCCTCCCTCCCTCCCTCCCTCCCTCCCTCCCTCCCTCCCTCCCTCCCTCCCTCCCTCCCTCCCTCCCTCCCTCCCTCCCTCCCTCCCTCCCTCCCTCCCTCCCTCCCTCCCTCCCTCCCTCCCTCCCTCCCTCCCTCCCTCCTCCCTCCCTCCCTCCCTCCCTCCCTCCCTCCCTCCCTCCCTCCCTCCCTCCCTCCCTCCTCCCTCCCTCCCTCCCTCCCTCCCTCCCTCCCTCCCTCCCTCCCTCCCTCCCTCCCTCCCTCCCTCCCTCCCTCCCTCCCTCCCTCCCTCCCTCCCTCCCTCCCTCCCTCCCTCCCTACCTCCCTCCCCAAGCTCTCACCGCCAGTGCAGCAGCCTTCTTCGCACCTTCCAACTCCACCTGCAACCCCCCTGCCTTGCCCTTCCACTCCTCCACCTCAACTCTCATCCCCTCCAGCTGTCCTCTTAGCTTCTCCGCCTCCTCCTCCACCTCCACCGCAACATCTATCAGCTCCTGCTCCTTCGCCAGCCACTCCGCCTCCTTCCTCCTCCACTCCTGCTGCTCCCTCTCCCTCCCAAACGACGGTGCTTTGTTCAGGAGCGCGTTCCTCTCCTGCTCCCTCTCGGCTCTCACTCTTTCTAGTTCCCTCCGGACTCCATCGGCCTCTACCCGCGTTTTCCGCACCTCCCCTTCTTTTTCCAACAGCTTCTGCTCCCATTCGGCCTTTTTCTCCTCCCATTCCGCACCCTGCTGCTGCGCCTGCTGCTCTGCCTGCTGCTGCAGGCGCCTCAGCTGCTGCAGCTCTGCCTGTGCTTGCTTCAGCTCCTCTTCTCTCCCTGCGCTGCTGGCTGCTGCTGCTGCTGTTGCAGCAGAAGCTGCAGCTTTCATGTTTTCAATCTCTTCCTGCACCTGTGGTGCAGTTACAGGTCAAACGACATAATATACACGAACGACATGAGACATAAGACATAGAGCATAGCTACACCACAAGAGGAGGAGGAGGAGGAGCAGGAGGAGGAGGAGGAGGAGGAGGAGGAGGAGGAGGAGGAGGAGGAGGAGGAGGAGGAGGAGGAGGAGGAGGAGGAGGAGGAGGAGGAGGAGGAGGAGGAGGAGGAGGAGGAGGAGGAGGAGAAGAAGAAGAAGAAGAAGAGTAGAAACGGAAAACAAGAGTGGACGCAGGAGGTAAGCAGAAGGCAAGCAGGGGGACAAAACAAGCATGGCGTGGTTTGGTAGGCTGCATCGCAGCGAATGCACTGCTGCTGCTGACCTTGCTGTGGGATTCCTCCCACTTGGCGCTGGCTGCTTTGTGTGCTTCTGCCTCTGCCTTCCACTGCTGGACCTGCTTCGCCAGTGCCTCCTCCTAGTGCATACAGGGAGATGGTGCATGCAGAAAAAGAAAGAGAGAAGAAAGAAAAGGGCGAAGTCTGAGGGGGATTAAAAAAAAAAAAAAAAATAAGCCGCGGATCGAGGCACGCCAGTAAAAGTGAACATGGCATGCCGTGCCTGCCGTGTGCCACCACCAAGTGTACAAGAGCTCGGTCCTTGCATTGCAATGCTGATTCCCCTCCCCATGCACCGATGCACCCACCCACACACCCACCCACCCCACACACCCCCACACAGACCCACACACCCACCCTGTGACTGCTGCACCGCACTCCACTGCACCTCACCTTTTCCTTGGCAACCGCTTGGCTCAAAACAACCTGCCGGCCATACTCCCCCTCCTCCTCCTTCCTCCTCGCCCTCTCCTCCCTCTCCGCCACCCGTTCCTCCCTCGCACTCACCCTCTCCTCCCGCACTAACAACCTCTCCTCTCTCTCCAAAACCCTCCTCTCCATAGCTAAAAACTCCTCCTCCCTCTGCCCCCCAACACTCCCCTTCTTCCTCCCTTCCTCCTCCACCTCAGCCAGCTTCCCTTGCAATTCCCCCACCTGCCCCCCCAGGCTCTCTATCCTTCCCTTCTGCTCCTCAATCGTCCTCTCCTGCTCAATAATAGTGCCCCTCTGCTCCTCAACCTTAGTCCCTAATTCCCTGATGCTACCCTCCTGCAGTTCAATCCTCTCGTCCTGCGCTTTCAGCTTCGCCTCCTGAGAATCTACCGTGTCCTCTAACTCTTCTATAATATCCTGCTGCTTCCCAATCCTGCTCTCCTGCTCCTCGATCCTCCCCTCCTGCTCCTTCACCTTCCGCTCCTGCTCGCCCCTAACCTTCTCCTCCTCCTTCATCCCTTTCTCCTGCTGCGCTACCCACTCCTCCGCCTCCTTCCCCCTCTTCTCCTCTATCTCCCTCAACCTCCCCTCCAGCTCTCTCACTTTCTCTTCAAGCTCTCGCACATGCCTCTCCTTCTCTCTCATTGCTTCTTCCATCGCCTGTATCTGCTTCCTGTGCGCCTCCTTCTCTCTTTCGGCCTCCACACCCACACCACCACCAACTGTTAGTTTCGCGATCGCAGCCGCAGCTGCTGCTTCCTGGTGCTTCTTAGCGTCTGCCAGCAGAGCCTGCTGCGCGGCCTGGTAGGAAGAGAAAGGGCCAGGCAGGGGTGGAGAGAGTGGAAGGAGGATGGAATCCACCCAGACTCATGGATGTGTTGCGTGTGCACTTGCTTCTGAGGTGCCTTGCGGCTTTTGAGTCTCCTCAAAACTTCTAAACTCCTGCATGTGTGTGCACTTGCTTCATGGGTGTCTTGAGGGATGCTTTTCAGGCGCCCTTCATTGTGTGTGTGCATGCAGACGGGGTCGAATAAGAACTTGGATTTGAAGTGAAAGTTGGAAGCAGACGAGATCGGCAGAGTGCACTTGTGGAGTGGCCTCCCTGCTTACTGGCTCTGCCTGTAGATTCTCAAGTGTACTTAACAAAATCGCCTCATCACACGTGGAAGCAGACGTGTATATGTATGTGGAGTGGATTTCCTGCTTATTGGCTTTGCTTGTCCATCATGCAACACACCTGTCCACCCACCCACCCAACCAACCAACCAACCACCCACCCACCCACTCACCAGTTGCTGCCTGAGCTGGTTACGCTCCTGAAACAGCCTCTTGCAATCCAATGATGCCTGCATGCACACACATGCACATAGATGCATGCAGATGCACACAGATGCACATAATGCATGCAGATGCACACACATGCACATAGATGCATGCAGATGCACACAGATGCACATAGATGCATGCAGATGCACACACATGCACATAGATGCATGCAGATGCACACAGATGCACATAGATGCATGCAGATGCACACACATGCACATAGATGCATGCAGATGCACACAGATGCACATAGATGCATGCAGATGCACACACATGCACATAGATGCATGCAGATGCACACAGATGCACATAATGCATGCAAGCCCACATGCCAACACGTGCGCGTGCGAGCGCGCACACATACACACGCACGCACAAAGCATGTGTGAACGATCACGCAGTGGGAGGCAAGAGAGGACGGGTGAGAAGGGGTAAGAGGAGGGGGGCGTGGAGCGGTGGAGGTGAATGGAGCAGAAAACGGAAATCATAGAGTAACAAGCACACCGCAGCAACCCTCACCCCCTTTCACGGCTGTCTTCCCCTCCAGTTACTTTCAACCGCTCCACACTCCTCCCCACACCTCTCCCACACGTACCACCGATCCTCCCCCCTCCCCCCCGTTGTCCCATTTGCTCACCACCCCCAACTCGACTTCACTCACACCACTTCCCCACCCACAACCCGCCACGCCTCCAGTACTCTCTCCCCAACTCCCGTCCCTTACATCGGCGACTCGTTCCTCTGCAGCCTCGAGTCTCGCCTTGAGCTCCTGCACTTCCTTCTCCCAGTCCTTAAATCCCCACCACCGCCACCGCCAACAGCGCCAGGGTCGGACCGGGAGCTCACAGACACCTCTCCCACACGCGCACCACACCCCCCCACAGCTCTCTTCCCACATACAACCCGCCCCCCCTCCCCCCTGCTCCCCACCCCCAACCCGCCCTCACTCACACCACCCTCCCTTCATTCCAACACCTCCCACTCTTCCCCTCCCCATCCCTTACATCAGAGGCTCGTTCCTCTGCAGCCTCGAGTCTCGCCTTGAGCTCCTGCACTTCCTTCTCCCTGTCCTTGCCGTCCCCACCACCGCCACCAAGAAGAGCGCCAGGGTCGGAGCGGGAGCTCACAGACGGGGACGGGCTAGCGTTCAGTCTGTCCAGCGACCGCCGCCGCTCCTTCTCGCTCTGATGGGGATGGGCGTGGGTGGGAGCGTGGGTGGGAGCGTGGTTAAGAGCAACAGCTGACTTCTACAGCAACAGCTGCGGTTCCCTCTCGCCCCAGACAATGGCTGGGTCCAGCCAAGTGAAAGTGCCCGCGTCTAAGCGAGTCAAATGACCACATTCCAACCAAGCACTTGTCTCTTTCATGACGTCTTGTAAAACTACTTTCAAGGTGCCTAAAAATGACAGAAGACTACATTCTGAAGCAAGAGTTCCTCTCTTTCCATCCAAATTTTTTGTTCTCCCTCGCTCCTTGCTAAAACGACCAGCATTCCCTCTTGTTCGTTCTCACCGCCCTCTTCTTCCCCCGCCGCACTGCACTTACTCCAATCGCTCTCTCCTCCGCTGCTGCCAGCCTCCCTCTCAGCGCACCCAGGTCAATCGCGCCTCTCTGCTGCTGCGGATGCTGCTGCGGCGACCGCGGCTGGTGCTGCGGCGACCGTGGCTGGTCTGGTGAATTCCTATGTGACAGCTGGTTCAACTGCTGCTCGAGCTCCTGATGAAACGGGGACGGCTTCTGCGCCTGCTGCGGCCTCCCCTGCGCCTGCGGTTGCGCCTGTTGTTGGCGCAGCAGCTCCTGCACCGCCTGCTGCTGCTTCGCCGCCGCCAGTTGCGCGCGCCCCGCGGACACAGGAGGGGACGGCGCCCCGCCAGCCGGTCGAAACACCGCAGCCGCTACAGCCGCCGCGGCAGCCGCCGCCGCCGCCTCAGCGTCCGCTGTAGCAGCAGCCGGAGAGGCGGGGGAACCGGGGAAGGCGCGCGCCGGAGGGGCGAAGGGGTGGTGGCGCGGGTCCGGGACGGGGCCGCCTGGGGGAGCGCGAAGCGGGGCTTGGTAGGGGGACGCGGGTCCGGCTGCTGCTGCAGCAGCGGCCGAGGCGGCTGCTAGGGCTGAATCGAGCCCTCCGGGAGGTGCTCTGTGTGACCCCATGCCGCCAGGGAGCATGGGATGGATCAGATCGTTGGAGTGACGGCGGAACGACTGGCGGAACGCAGAATTTGGGGGGGAGAACGCGAAGGGGACGAGGGGAGGGGGGAAGGGGGAAGGGGGAGGCGCGGAGGAAAAGGGGGGAAGGAGGACGAGAGTGAGAAGCTTGCGAAAGGGTGACGAGGACAGAGGACGCCTTTCGAGGCGCCTTGATAGAGGACGAAGTATATGGCGGAGAAAAACGAGACGTTGGCGAACGCAGGGGAGGAGCTAGCACGAGTGTTATAACACATCCAATGAGTGTGGTATGAACCAACACAAGCCAGTGACTTCCAATGCGCTATGCGAACTCTGGGAGTGAACCGTAATCGGGCTAGCCATCTACGCCGATCAATAACTTCTACGCCGATTAATAACCGAGGCAAGCAATGCTACGATCACCCAGTGCCTGACCATGGGGTGTAAGTCTTGCCGTCTCCCACCTTTCGCTGCGAAAGTTTCAAGCACGGAAAACGTCACGACGATAGGAGATGAAAAAAGTCGTGTTTCTGCGGGAATGTTAAAACCGAGAGGAAACACACACGAGGCATCAGCATAGGGGGTAGAGCACAGGAGGCGGTAAGCCTTTATTTTACACGCTACGTAGAGTCAAGACGACGCGCAGGACGGCGCGAAGTAAGAGGTCCGACAGACACACCTTTCTTACGCTGCACCACACGAGCTCGAATGACAAGGGAAAGGTGGCGCAATCGATCACGTCAACCAGTGGCTCTTTACCAAAATGCGAGAGATAAGTTAAGGTTATATTAAAGCCCAAGACCTGAATTACTCAACGGAAGTCAATGCTAAAAACTAGGTTCGGGAGGCAGGCACGGAGAGGTTCGGTTGGGTTGCGAGAGATTTTCACTCGCGAAACCAATTTGCGACAAAAGTTTCTCGCTTCCCATGATGGTTGGTGCCCTTCCCACAACCAGAAAAGCGCGAGCTTATCAAACTCTGCACAGTTTGGGATAGCACGCAGAGTATTAGGCATAGACCATACCTGTAGACAGGGCAGGGCGTCGGCGTTCACTCAAAAGGGAGTAGATGCGCCATATGATTTGGGTGGCGTAGATTTGCAATGATGACGCGCAAAGCTAGTTTGCGCTGGGTGAAGATTATTGTGTCGAAATGCAGGTTATTGTGCAACTACTCCGTAGCGTAAAATCGTGGCGAAAATCGAATCGCAACCGTTCGCCCAAACGTGACCCTCCCCTCGCCCTCGCTTTCCTTTCCCACGCTTCCGCTCTCTTTCGCCCGCGTCGTCGCCATCGCTTCCGCAGCTCGTCGCGTGCCCGTCGCCTTCGCTCCGCCCGTCGCCTTCACTTCTCCCCCGTCGCCTTCACTCCCCCCCCCTCTTCCGTTGCCTTCATTTCCCCCTCCCGTCGCCTTCACTTCCCCCTCCCGTCGCCTTCACTTCCCCCTCCCTTCGCCTTCACTTCCCCCTCTCGTCACACTCGCTTCCCCACCCGTCACCTTCACTTCCCCTCCCATTGCCTTTCACTCTCTCCTGCTCAATCTCTTTCCCCCTGCTCACTCTCTTCCCCCCCTGCTCACTCTCTTTCCCCTTGCTCACTCTCTTCCCCCCTGCTCACTCTCTTCCCCCCTGCTCACTCGCTTCCCCCCTCAATCCCTTCCCCCCTGCTCACTCTCTTCCCACTCTCTTCCCCCCTGCTCACTCTCTTCCCCCCCTGCTCACTCTCTTTCCCCTTGCTCACTCTCTTTCCCCCCTTCTCACTCTCTTTCCCCCTTCACGCTCTCTTTCCCTCCCTTCCGCTTGTTGCCCCCCTTCGTCTCGCGCTCGTCCCCTCGCAATCCCCGTCTCTCTCTCCCCCCGTCGCCCTCGTTTTCCCCATCGCCCTCCCTTCCACTCCTCGTTGCCCTCGCCATCCCTCCCTTCTCCCTTCCCATCTCGCACACTTGTCACGCCCCCTTTCCAATCCACACATACACCCTTCCCTTCTTCCTTGTTTCCTCGTATCCCCTGCGCTGCTTCCCCCCATCCTCCGACTTGCTCCCCCCATCCCCTTCTCTGCTTCCCCCCAACCCTTTCCCTGCTTCCCCCCAACCCCTTCCCTGCTCCCCCCCATCCCCTTCCCTGCTTTCCCCCTTCCCCTTCCCTGCTTCCCCCCGTCCCCTTCCCTCCTTCCCCCGTCCCCCTCCCAGCATCCCCCCATCCGCTTCCCTGCTCACCCCCATCCCCTTCCCTGCTCCCCCCATCCCCTTCCCTGCTTCCCCCTATCTCCTTCCCTGCTTCCCCCTATCGCCTTCCCTGCTCACCCCTGCTCCCTCTGTTTCATCCTTGCTCCCTCCCCTTCTTCTCTGCTCACTCTCTTCCCCCTTGCTCACTCTCTTTACTTCTGCTCGCTCTGTTCCCCCCTGCTTCCTCTCTTCCCCTCTGTTCAATCTGTCCCCCGCTGCTTCTTCTCTTCCCCTCTGCTCATTCCGTTTACTGTCTTTCCCCCTTCACTCAACCCCATACCCCCCAATGCAGTTACAGGTGCTCAGCACCAGATGTGGCTTTACCACGGCCTGGTTTATTGGTTGCAGTAAAGACAGACAAAACCGGAAAACAACATTACACATACACCCCCTAGCTTTGTTCCCTTCTCGAGTCTGGTGATTCCCCTTACTTTACAGATACGGTAATATATTAATTGTTGAACTCCTTGGTATTGGTCATGTGTATTATTGCTCTGAGGTTCATAATCCTGTATTATAACAAAATAATCCAATATATGGCATGGCTATACGTGTGTTACTATCAGACAGCTTGCACATGCACAACCAGATGCAGAGCAGACCTGTCCAAACACAAATCAAGAAGTCAGATGTGACGTGGCTGAAGTATAAGGGAATGGCAACTGGCAAATGAGAAAGGGAGGAACGGAGGAAGGGAGGAAGTGAGGAATGCAGGAATGAAGGAAGGGAGGAAGTGATGATGGGAGGAAGGGAGGTAGGGAGGACGCTTGGGGGAGAAGCAGAAGGGAGGGGAGGAAGAGAGGTTGGGGAGGAGGGTGGGGAGGAGGGTGGGGAGGAGGGTGGGGAGGAGGGTGGGGAGGAGGGTGGGGAGGAGGGTGGGGAGGAGGGTGGGGAGGAGGGTGAGGAGGAGGGTGGGGAGGAGGGTGGGGAGGAGGGTGGGAAGGAGGGTAGGGAGGAGGGTGGGGAGGAGGCTGGGGAGGAGGGTGGGGAGGAGGCTGGGGAGGAGGCTGGGGTGGGGCGGAATGGGGTGGGCCAGAAAGGGGTGGGGCGGAATGGAGTGGGGCAGAAAGGGGTGGGGCGGAATGGGGTGGGGCGGGGCGGAATGGGGTGAGGCGGATTGGGGAGATGAGGGATGGGGAGATGAGGGATGAGGAGATGAGGGATGGGGAGGTGTGGGATGGGGAGGAGAGGGCTGGGGAGGAGAGGGATGGGGAGGTGAGGGATGAGGAGGTGAGGGATGGGGAGATGAGGGAAGGGGAGATGAGGAATGGGGAGATGAGGAATGGGGAGATGAGGGAAGGGGTAATGAATGAACGTGTATGCGACGGAAGGGTGCTGCTGACCACGCACCCTCCCACACCCCACACGATGGGAAGGGATGAGAGGGTGGGCGGCATGGGTAGAGAAGCGATGGTGAATAGGGGGAACGTGATGGGCAGGGGAGTGATGACGGCGTGGAGAGAGGAGGAGAGAAGGGAGGTCGGCGGGAAGGCTAAGCGAGGACGATGGGAGGGCAAGCGTGGGCGACAGTGGCGGTGGGCGACGGTGGCGGTGGGCGACGGTGGCGGTGGGCGACGGTGGGGAGAAGCGTGGGCAACGGTGGGGGGAAGCGTGGGCGACAGTGGGGGAAAGCGTGGGCGACGGTGGGGGGAAGCGTGGGCGACGGTGGGAGGAAGCGTGGGTGACGGTGGGGAGAAGCGTGGGCGACGGTGGGGGGAAGCGGGGGCGACGGTGGGGGGAAGTGTGGGTGACGGTGGAGGGAAGCGTGGGCGACGGTGAGGGGAAGCGTGGGTGACGGTGGGGGGAAGCGTGGGCGACGGTGGGGGGAAGCGTGGGCGACGATGGGGAAAGCGTGGGTGATGGTGCTCCGAAACGTGGGCGACGGTGGGAGGAATTGTGGGCGATGAGAGGGGAAACGTGAGGGAAGGTGGAGAAAGGCGTGAGCGACGGTGTGGGGGAAGGCCGGAGGAAGCGTGAGCGGCGATAAGGGGAAGCGTGAGCGACGGTGGGGGAAAGCTTGGGCGACGGTGGGAAGAGTGGGCGTGTGCGTGGGGAGGTGTGTGAGAGACGATGGGGAGAAGCGTGGGGGACGCAGAAGGCGATAGGTCCAAATGCGATGTTTGGGAAAGAGCTAGGAATAAAAGTGAAAATGCTCACGGCCTATGCTGTAGTGGCGTTTTATTCTATCTCTTCGCATACTCTAATCGCTTCGCGTACTATGGAAATCACACGACCTGAATTACCGAAGAAGACAAACTGTGCACAGTTTGAGCCCTTGTTCCTTCAGGAGGGTGTGGTTGGGACTCTCACCAACCAAACCTGTTCTGCTCTACGACTGTGTTTCTTGGCGCAATGTTTTCTGGTAACCAGCCTGGCTCGGGAGGTCAACTGTGGGTTCGGTAGGCAAACTGTGCACAGTTTGCCTTCCTTTTTTTGTAATTCAGGTCTTGGGCTTTAAGGTCATAATATGCGAGTGAAGAACCTACGCCATTGTATAACTACCACTGAATGAAAATGAATACTAGAGCACAGGGATGAAAGACTGACTGGGAAGGGAAAGACTTGAGCTGAACCACAGCCTCGATTATTACGTTGACATGGTAGTTTGCGGCAATGCCGAACCACGGCAGCAACCCATCTCTTAGGCCAATGGATGTCGCGTACATTTTATTGGATCGCAATACAGCTTCGGTTGGGGTAGCCAGTCTGGATCTGGCTCGGGTGTGGTTGGGACCAGACCTATCGGACATAGCTTCATCCTTTCGCCAAAACTTGGGACGGAAGGCTTCCCTTCCAAGTGACGTCAAACGAGTCGGCTGCGCCGCCTGCTTCTGGTACACTGACGGAATTGCCAACACACCAACTGACTGACGTTTGCGAACAGCAAAATCTTCGACCACCAGATTTCCTCCTCATCGACCATATACGACAATAGGCGACCATCCACATCATCACTTCGTTCCTGCTGGCGCCAGTAATGACGACTTTAGGAGGTTTGGCTGCACATTTGCCGTGCCCGATTGGTTTGATGAGAAACTTTTCTCGTAGCGCCGCTCCGAAGCTCCTATTGGCTTTGTTAGTGCCGAGCCTTCGTCGTTCCTCAGGACCGGGTTAAGTAGATGATCGATCGTCAGTCGCGTTCGATGTGCGGCGCAGTTACCCTACTTACGACGCTGTAGCTATGCTACAGTAAGTTTTTTGCCAAAATTTCCGTACAGTGTGCGAATGCGACTGATCACTGATGGCGGGAGATCTGTCAATTCTAAAGGGGCGATCGTTACAACGTCGCGGTCGCACGTTTCGTCAAACGACCTGCCCACTCGATTGTGGGGCTCGATATTTGCGGACGATCCTGCGAAATTTGCATTTGTACCGCGTCCTCATCAAAGTTAAACAGGCTGGTTTGGCAGGTCTGTGAGTCAAGATTCATCACTAAGAAGAGCCTCCTTATTGCTTACCGTCATAAGTGTCACGTAAATATTGGGAATATAGAACATAAATGCTCGTGAGCAGAGCTCCAGCTTGAGTCGTCTGTTCCCCCTCAGCATGTGAAATATCTTGCTCTGGATTGGGTCTGTTCTGGGACTCGACAATGCAGCGGATGTTCCACGCAATGGATGACCTGTCTGTTGCTGGACAGAGATACGGCGCAGCTTTGTTCTTTCCCGCCATCTGCATTTGAGCGGGGGGTCACGAAGCCTGACACAGCAGCAGGAGTCGTTCCCGCTTTGAAGTTTTCCTCCACTTTCGAGAGTAGCACTTTCTATTCTTTTTGTGTCCTGTAAGTAACGGGAGGAATAATTATAGTCACCAGAAATCTGGGTCCATGCTAAGGAAATAATGGCCAAAACTGGAAACAGACTCCATCAGTATCTGAACAAAAACACCACGCCTCTGGTGGGTTAGCCGATAATGTTTGGAACAGTCGAACTTTAACCCACCCACCCACACCAGTCGGCAATGTTCACAGGTTGCCGCGACTTGTGAGTGGTGGTGACCATACACACCTGCTGTCGTTGATAGTAGCTCCCAGTCCTTCTGATGAAATCATCTCGTTAACAGCAGCAGCAAACACGGCGCTAAGTGCAACAGTCTTGTTGGAGCTCTGCAATCTCCTCCAGATGTATCTTATTCAGAAACCAGCACCAGTCTTCCCGCCGTTACAGCGTTCTGCTCAGATCCGTCATCAACATTCCTCCTTCATTCACTCGCCATTGCCCTCCCGCAACGCCTGCACTGCTTTTAGCAATCGGTAATTACACCTCCAGAAGGACGGATGGACACCCGTTAGCACTGACCTGGTTACTGAGACGCCTCAAGGTTCTGACGTTTGAGACGTCTCAAAATACCGGCTAGTACCACTACTAGCACTAGCCGGGTCATCACGCTGCCACGCCAGCGAGTCTTTCAAGCCGTAGTACAATTCGCCTGGCAATCCTCCAGTTCGTACGGGAAATCCGGGCAATGTTCTGAATCACCACCAGACGTCGCAAACCCCGCGCGGTACGCGCAATCCCGCGACCATGTCGACGGTAGCATCGTCGTCTCTCGTGACCACGGGGAGCCATGTCCAGCAATCTGCTGCTGGTCAACAGGCTGTTGGGAGTGGCACCTCCCATCAGTTAATATTTTCATCGCCATCACATCACGTATTCCGCTCGCACCCCCGGCATTTTCCGCACTCCCCGCATTCTGCGCATTTCTCGCATATGTCCTTGGCTCCTAGCGGCGCAATCTCGCCGTCCTTCCCGTTCCACCGCGCCACGCGCAGCTTCAGATACCCGCGGAACGCCAGCGGCGGCGGCGCGGCGACGCGGCCGGCGTCGGCGCGATTTCTCCGCGGCCGACGCTCGGCCATCGGAGCGACTGCCGCCGCACGATCGCCGTTCTACACGTCGAAATTCCGCGTCCCACAGGCAGCAGCCGCCGCGCGTTCGCCGTTCTACGCGTCGAATTTCCGCGTCCCAGCCGCAGCAGCCGCAGCAGCAGCAGCAGCAGCAGCGACCGCTCGCTTCGGCGGCGGCGGCGGCGGGGCCGGCGGCTGCTACTATCGCTCCCGCGCAGAAGAGCTGCATTCGCGACTCTGCTGGCGACTCGCACGGTTCCCGAGCGAAGCCGTCGCGCTTACTAAGAGATGCCGGATTACCGCCGCCGCCGCTGCTACTACTGGCACCAGCGGACATCACGGCGCCTATCAGGACGCTAATCAAACCGCTCATCAAAACTTTCATAAGCGCGCTGATTATTCCGCCGCCACGGCACCCGGAGCTCATTCGAGATCGTCCGCGCATGACACGGCGGGGATAGCGCACCCTCCTCGAATCGAAGCGGCCAGTATTGAGTACCGCATTGGCATCCAAGGAATCGTTCAAAGCATTGACGAGCAGATCGAACAGGGAATGGATGAGAAAATGGAGGAGCCTTCGGGTGCGAATGATAGCAATACAACGACTGCTGCTGCTACTACTACCGGTGATGTTATCGAGGCTGTGGGAGTTGCGGCGGCTTCTTCGGAAGAGGCTTACGCAGGAATTGAAGCGGGGGCTGGAGTGTTGCACGCGCCGCCAATGGGTTCCCCGCCCGCATTTTCCGGCGCTGCCACCGCGGCTGGTGCTGCAGCTACGAGCGAAGCGAATCGCCTGCTACTCCCACCGCGCCGCCGTTTCCGAGGTTCCTTTGTAAACGTTCAGCCCGAGCCGCGTGGCGCGGTTACCGTAGCCTCGCTGTTTGCATCTATTACCAGCGATAGGAGAGGAAGCGGCTCGGCCTTTGGTAGCGGCGGCGGCTTCGGCAGCCGCTTCGGCGGCGAGGGCGGGAAACCGGGGCCGCTGATACGTGGCAGCAGCGGAATGGCGAGTATTTTCGCCGGCACGGCGTGTTTGGGTCTGCTCGTGGTGATGGCGGGAGCGGTGGTTGCGCAGCTGCTGCGGAAAACGCGGAGCGGGGATCACGCCACGAATGGCGCGGCCGGGAACGGCGGCGGTAGCAGCGCGGGGGGCGGCAGGAATGGCAGAAGCAGTAGCAGCACCGGCAGTGGCATCAGCAGCACCAGCAATAGTAGCGGCAGCAGCGGAGGGCGAAGCAGACTTAAGAGGCTCCTTCCCCTTGTCCCTCCGTTCGCAGTAGGAGCAGCAGGAGCAGGCGGAGGGGGCAACGGGGAAGAAGGCGCAGCAGCCGGGGGGGGAGCGCTAGGGGGAGTGCGGCGACTGGGAGCTGTTGGGGGAGGGGGAGGGGGAGCGGGTGTAGCAACGGCGGCTGCGGCAGCTGTTGCGGCTCCTGTTGCTGACACAGCTGCCGCTGCACCAGGTAGGAAGCTTCGTCGCCTTCCACAACCCTTCCTCCGTTGCCGTCTCTGCATTGTACGAATCTACCTGCCTGAATCTCACCTCCCCAGTACTCACCTCCCTGTCACTTCCGCTTCTCATGCTCATCCGCTCTTCTCATGCTCTTTCTTTCTTCACATGTGTTTCCCTTCCGTGCTCTCCCCCCTTCTTTTCCATCCTCCGTCCCCCTCATCTCTCCCATCCCCACCGTCCCCTCTACCCCTCCCATTCTCAGTCGCCCTCATTCCCTCATTCTGAACCTGCCCCAGGATTCCGCTCATCCTTATCCCCATCCCATCCCCGCCCTCTCCCCTTTTCTGCACGCCTTTTTTGGCCCAATCACAGCGCGCCACGTCACCCACCCCGACCTCCACGTGTCACTGTCCATGACTACCCTGCGCGCCAAGCCAGTCCCTACTACCACCACACTTCCCACCCCATCGCTATCCCCATCCATAACTCTCTTGTCGCCTCGTGCTGTTGCCACTGCTCCTCCCCCTCCTCCCCCTCCTTCTCCCTCTCCTCCTCCTCCTAAGCCTTCTCCTTCAGTTATTCCTGCTCCTTCCACTTCCTCCCCTTCCTCCTCCTACTCCCCTTTCGCCTCCTCCTCCCCTTCCGCATCCTCCTCCCCTTCCGCCTCCTCCTCCCCTTCCGCCTCCTCCTCCCCTTCCGCCTCTTCTTCCTCCCCTTCCGCCTCCCCCTCCCTTTCCGCCTCCTCATCCCCTTCCGCCTCCCCCTTCCCTTCCGCCTCCTCATCCCCTTCCGCCTCTTCTTCCTCCCCTTCCGCCTCCCCCTCCCTTTCCGCCTCCTCATCCCCTTCCGCCTCCCCCTTCCCTTCCGCCTCCTCATCCCCTTCCGCCTTTTCTTCCTCCCCTTCCGCCTCCCCCTCCCCTTCCGCCTCCTCATCCCCTTCCGCATCTTCCTCCTCTCCGCCCTCGTCCCCTCTACCTACCAGCAGCACCAATGCATCCACAACCATCCCTCAGGTCACGTCAACCCTCCCCCCTGCCTTCTCCCCTCCCCCTCTTCCATCCCCTGTTTCCATCCCCTCTTCTCCCCCATCCCTCGCCTCCTCGTCTCCCTCCTCTCCTCCCTCCTCCCCTCCCTCCTCTCCTCCCTCCTCCCCTCCTCCCCCCAGTTTCCCCCCTCCTCCCTCTCCCCCTCCCTCCTCTCTACCTCCATCCCCCCCCAGCTCCTCCCCCTCTGCTCGCTCCTCCTCTCCCCTCCCCGCTTCACACACAGCACCACATCTCCACCACCCCTCCTCTGTCTCACTGCCTGTGTCTGCTCACGGCATACCTGCACCTCCACCTGCACCTGTACCTCCAACCAGCCTCCTCCCTCTCATCCAGTCAGTCCAAGCTATGGCTTCTGCTCTTCTGCTCGAGGAGGAGCCTACTAGTCAATCTTCCGCGGATTCTCCTTATTTCCGTGGTTCTCCCGAGCCTACTACTCGCACGGCCGATCCTACTGGTTCGTCTGAGGATTGGGATGATCTGGTGAAGTCTGTAGTTCTGGGTGTGATGTGCGTCCCCTCTGCTTCTGCCGATGCTGCTGAGTCAACGCAGGTCAACGTTCCCAGTGCTGCTGCTGAGTCAACGCAGGTCAACGTTCCCAGTGATGCTGCTTCTAGCCCTAATTCTCCACCAGTGTTGCTGTCCCACACCACCACCATCCCCACCACCACCATCCCCACCACCACCATCCCCACCACCACCATCCCCACCACCACCATCCCCACCACCACCACCGCCACCGTCACTGCTGCTGCTGCCACTACTGCTGCAGCTACCACCGCTGCCACTGCCGCTGCTGCCAGTACAATCGTTATCAGCACCGACAGCAGTACCACAACTTCCGACTCTACCACTGCTGCAACAAGTGATGCTCTCACCCCTGCCACCACTGCTGCCACCACTGCTGCCACCACTGCTGCCACCACTGCTGCCACCACTGCTGCCGTTGCTGCTACGGTTGCTACTGCTCGCGCTGGTGGTGCTGCTGCTACTGCTGCTGCTGCTGCCACTGCTGCTGCCAGCACAATCGTTAGCAGCAGCGGCAACAGTACCACCGCAACTGCCGACTCTACCACTGCTGCAATAAGCAATGCTCTCACCCCTGCCACTGTTGCTGGCAACGCTGCTGGCACCGCTGCTACTACTGCTGTTACGTCTGACTCGGCTCGCCCTGCTCCTGCCGCTATTGTGACTATCACTGAACAACAGGCTGCCACGGCGACAGAAACCTCTGCGACCGAAGCAGCCGAGGTCAAAGCAACAGAGGCTAGAGCAACAGAGGTTAGAGCAACAGAGGATAGAGCAACAGAAGTTAAAGCAACGGAGGTTACAGCAGCAGAGGTTAAAGCAACAGAGGTTAAAGCAACAGAGGAAACAGCAGCAGAGGTTACAGCAGCAGAGGTTACAGCAACAGGGGTTAAATCAGCAGAGGTTAAAGCAACAGAGGTTACAGCAGCAGAGGCTAGAGCAGCAGAGGTTAAATCAGCAGTGGTTAAAGCAGCAGAGGTTGGAACAGAGGTTACAGCTGCAGAGATCAAAGCGACAGAGGTAACAGCAGAAGCGGAGGAACCAGCAGGAATCAAAGGAGGAGCAGCAGCAGAAGAAGCGGCCAGAAACTTGCATGGCCTAGATGCTCCAGCGGTGTCTGTACTCGCAGCTGTAGAAGCATCTGCTGTTGACACTCCAGCTGCAGACAATCAGGCTGTGGCAGTTTCGGCTGTCGCAACTTCTGCTATGGCAACTCCTGCTGTGGCAACTCCTGCTGTGGCAACACCACTGGTGACAATTCCTGCTGTGACAACTCTGGCCGTAGCAACTCCTGCCATAGCTAATCCGGCTGTAGCAACTCCGGCTGTAGCAACTCTGGCTGTAGCAACTCCGGCTGTAGCAACTCCGGCCGAAACAACTCCGGCTGTAGCAACTTCGGCTGTAACAGAGACACCGGCAGCCACAGGAGAAGGATCCGCAGCAAGCGGAGTAGCTGAGACGATAGCTGGAGCACAATTAGCAGATGCAACAATGACAGTGGCTCAGTGGCCTGCGAACGAGAGGGACGTGGAGAGGAGTGGAAAGGAGTGGAGTGAGGAGAGGAGCGAGGAGAGGGGTGACGAGAGGGGCAGGGAGAGGATTAGGGAGAGGGAGAGTAGAGAAAGGGGTTGGGAGAGGAGTAGGGAGAGAAGTAGGGAGACAAGTAAAGAGAGGAGTGAGAGGAGTGAGAGTAGGAGATTGCTGCGCAAGGATATACGAGTGGATGGAAGGACGTTCGTAAGCTCTGCTGTCAGGGCCATGCGTGCTACAGCGAATTCCCCCCCAACCAGCAGCAGCAGCAGTGGCAGCGACAGCATCAGCAGCACCTGGGGCATTAGCAGCGGCAGCGGCAGTGGTATGAAAAGCAGCAGCAAGAGCAGCGCTCATAAGAAAAGCATTGGTGGCGCGAACCTGAACTCTCGTCTGTCAGAGAGGAGCAACACAAGTATTGAGACGTCTCAAAACAGGAGCACGAGTAACGAGCAAGTGACGTACCCAGCAATTGCATACCTCGTTGCCGCGCCGAAAACAGTTGGCACGGGCGGCAGCAGAGGCAGCGGCGGTGGTGCTGGTGGTGGCAGCAGCAGAAGCACTATGAGGAGTGGTGATAGCAGCAGTGGCAATGATGCTGAAACGGAATCATCTGCAAAAGACAGAAGCAGCGGCGGCGACGGCACAGGAGGAGGAGAAGAGTCACTTGCTGTAAGTGGTTGTATGGAAAGATGAGCGCAGTGGTGATTTGCACTTCTTGTTCTCTCCAATAAACTCCTCCTCCTCCTCCTCCTCCTCCTCCTCCTCCTCCTCCTCCTCCTCCTCCTCCTCCTCCTCCTCCTCCTCCTCCTCCTCCTCCTCCTCCTCCTCCTCCTCCTCCTCCTCCTCCTCCTCCTCCTCCTCCTCCTCCTCCTCCTACTCCTCCTACTCCTCCTCCTCCTCCTCCTCCTCCTCCTCCTCCTCCTCCTCCTCCTCCTCCTCCTCCTCCTCCTCCTCCTCCTCCTCCTCCTCCTCCTCCTCCTCCTCCTCCTCCTCCTCCTCCTCCTACTCCTCCTCCTCCTCCTCCTCCTCCTCCTCCTCCTCCTCCTCCTCCTCCTCCTCCTCCTCCTCCTCCTCCTCCTCCTCCTCCTCCTCCTCCTCCTCCTCCTCCTCTCCACCCCTGTCTCCTTCCCCGCCCTCTGTTCTCCCGCCCTCTCCTTCCCATTCTTATGCCCTTCTCCTCAAATCCTGTAGTCAACCATATCAGCACTATGCGATGCACTGCGCTCTAGTTTTGAAACGTCTCAAAACGCCATGCACTGCGCTTTCTCATGTCACCCCGTTTCCTGAGATGTCTCAATTGGCGTTGTCTCATGTCACCCCGGTCCCTGGAGCAGCAGCAGGCGGAAAAGGAGAAGGAGCATCTGTTGTCGGTTCTCGGTGCAGCTCCCCCCCTCGTGGCCATGGCTTTTGGTGGAATGGTTGCAATCTCCTCTGGATGTGAGTGATTACTTTGCCAAGGGATGGATAGTATATATATATATATATATATATATATTTCTTTCCAATTTTTATATGAGATTATGTGCAGCATGTACACCATGAGACCACCTTTTGTTGTTGGCGTTTACCTCTTGCCCTTATCATGTGCGTTTCCTTTTAATTTGCAACGCGCACTGTTGTCGACACGGGTTTTGATAGGATGTTTTCCATCATAATGAGATTGGGCTTGATGGGTGTAAGTACATTATGAGTCCTGGTTTACTCTAGCTTTATATTCTTCATTACTAACGTCAAATCTCACCCTTAACCTCCCACCCTCTCCCACCCCTTTCCATCTCTCGTCTTCTCACCCTCTCCCCCTTCCCGTACACCTTTACGCATGCATGAATTGTTGAAACCCCTCCTTATTGGCAGGGACTGATGGGATGGAGGCAGTTGGCATAGCTGCACTCGTGTCATTCATTGCGCATGACTTATGGCCAGATGAGAAAAGGTGTGTACATTGCATTGCACCCAATGGATACCTTGGGGATTGTGCACTTCAAAAAGCATCACCTTTTTTTGTTTTCTCTGTCTCTCTCTCTCTGCTATGGTCTGCAGGGCGCAGCTACGCTGGGAGCTGAGTAACATTCGAAAGTGGCATGACGTGAGGCACTTTCTATGGAGAAGAAAAATTACTCATAGAATATGAAATGCTTTCTTGTTTCCAGCTAGGTAAACTCTTTTATGTGTTGGGACCTCTCCAAACCAGGGTCGACCAATGCACATATGTGACATAGTATGGTCTTAGTAGAAATTGATTAACACAAATTGTGTATCTACTACTATATAGATATATTATTCAACAAAGGTGCATCTCAACAACATAAGTACATTGTGCAGAGCTCAAGGGGGACGTTGACGTGCTCTGGCCAATCATAACCCGTGGTTGACGGGAGCTGGTTGTCTGCGTATCACTAAAACCGCGGCATTTTCGCGGGCAAGAATCCAAAACTGTATATGTTTTACGAGCCTTTTTGGCTGGGCCGATACATATTCCCGGCGGTAGATACCTTGTTATTTCGATGTTTTTTACTGCCCATAGACTCCCACCGACACAAAGCAAACTCTGGTCCACCTGATCAGGAGCCCAACAACCAAACGAGTTGGATGACTTAATCTTTAAGCGTCTGAATGAGGTTACGTACGATCTAAAGTGGTCTGTTGAAGGTCAGAAGTGGCTGTTTAGCGAAACCTACTTTCAGGGCCCCCCCTGCTCTGACCAACCAGTGTCCCTCACGGGAAGTTCAGCTTCTGGTCTGCGTTTCGTTTCACCTCACCAACTTTCTTCTCAGTTCTGTTCCATCCTCCCTATCCAGTCCAGGAGGTGTGCTGTCAATGCTGTGCAGTGTTGAAAGCCTACGAGTCTGCGACGTCGTTGGTAGGTTGGTCTGTCAGTCCTTGGACGTGGAGTGAAAGCCACTCCTGCTACATTCCCCACCACATGCGCGCAAAAATTATCCGTTAGCGGTCCACAACAAGGTGTATTCTAATTCGCTCGCCGCGGTCTCTCTCGTTTGCAATAAACGCCATTGCGCATACGGTCACGTTGATGTCTCTCTGATCGACGTCAAGGAAACCAGCTGGTCTCGAGCCGCCAAACAGTCGCGTCGTTTGTGTTCTGGTGGAAAACTGCTGCTGGGACGCCGATTCAAGATGAGATTTTCCGTTCTCTTCTCGCTGCTGCTGACATTCTCTCACGCAGGTAAAGTCAGCCGATAACACAGCGGTGTCACGTGGGAATTATTTCGTGTTTGTCTTCTTCTGTTTATTATCCGCTTTCCAGAAATTCAGCAGTCATTTGATTGGTCAGCATCAGCAGGGGAGTTAGTTCACCTTGCACTTCGTCCGGTCCCGTTCTCTTCATATCACAGGCGGCTCGGCTGCCTGTTTTACAAATTAGCCTCGGTATTTTTCTCGATTTAGCCTCGATCCGTTGCTCTCGTTAACTGATTGGCGGATCGAATTTCCACGTGTCAAGTCCCTCCTCACTTAGGACGCGACGCGGCGCAACATTAACTCTGCTTGATACACTCTCTTAATCTCGTCTCATTAGTCACCACGTGACACTTGAGTCGACTCAAAGTCACTTCTTCAGACCGTTACCCCTCCTTGTCACACGAACAATACCCCTTGGCTTTCCTCCCTTCCAACCTGTTGGTGGGGACCTGGGATCGTCCCTAGTTGAGTGCGGGAGGGCTACAGGCGCGGCCTGGGGGGTTATGGGTGTGCTACCCACCATAAAAACATGCCCTTTTAACCCAGTCGGTAGCAGGCTAGGCCAACACAGCCAACCCTTCCCTCCCCTGCCCAAACCCGCTTTCCCCCACTCCCTCCTCCCCCCACTCCTTCACCAGCCTTACCAGCGGTTCTTGCACAGAACCAGGTGTATGATTACGTGGGTCCCCCTGCACGCGGTAACGGCGGAGCTTACGGGGGGGCTGGGGGCTACGGGGGAGGCGGCGGAGGAAACAACGGCGGAGCGACCGTTGGGCCCGGCGGAAACCGCTGGGGTGGAGGTGCAGGGGGCGGGTTCGCGAACGGCGCAGGGGGCGGGGGAGGCGGAGGGGGGGCAGGCGGGGGAGGTTACGGCGGTGGCGGGGTGAATAGCTGGAAGGCTGGCGGTAGAGGCGGACCGGGTATGGCTGGGGGAGGTTGGAGAGGAAATGCCGCTGGGGGAAATGCTGGTGGCGCGGGTAATTGGGGTGGCGCAGGCGCTGGCGGAGCTGGGGCTGGCGGAGGCCCCGCAATGACTGGCACTGGCGCAGACGGGAACAGGTGGGGGGGGCAAGGCGGAGGGTATGGGGGGGGAAGTGCTGGCGGAGCGGGGCAGTGGGGCGGAGGCCCCGCAGGGGGAAACAGGTGGGCAGGTGGTGGGGGCGGAGGCGGAGGGGGAGGTGGGGGCGGTGGAGCGTACGGTGGCGCGGGGGGAACCTGGGCGCAGGGGAATCCGAACCAGGCCGGGCCTAATGGGGCGCCATGGGGGGAATCTGGCGCAGGAGCAGGGGGAGGTGCAGGTATGGGCGGAGGCATGGGCGGCATGGGCGCAGGGGCTGGCGCAGGTGCAGGCGCAGGGCCCGCCAATGGCGCTGGCTTCCCCGCCATGGGAACAGGGCAAGGCGGGGGATGGGCACAAGGTGGGGGGGGGAACGCGGGCGGGGGAAACCCAGCTGGGCCATGGGGCGCTGGGGGCTTTGGTCCTGGGGGAGCAGCAGGCGGAGGCATGGGGGGAGGGGACATGCAGGGGGGAGTGATGGCGAATGGAGGCCCAACGGGGTTGGCAGGGCAGCAGGCCTATGTGCAAGCACAGCTGGAGCTGCTGCGGGAGCAGGGGCACGGACCCTTGCCAGGGATGGGCGCAGATTTCAGGACCTTTCCGCCCATCACTGCAGAGGCCTGCATGCCTTTAGTGAATGAGTTTGTAGAGAGGATGATGGCGGATCTGCCTAAGGGGTTGGATATTCATGATAGGAAGCAGGAGCCAATCAAGGACCTGCTGTTCTTCCTCCACGTGCCTCGCACGGGCGGTCGCACGTACCACCAATGGTACGCGGTCCTGCTGTGTGGTGATGCGATGCGATGTGCTGCGATGGGCCTCGCTGTGCGGTGCTGTGCGGTGTTAAGCTGTGTTATATGCAATGCTACTCGGGCGGGCGTGTTATGGTTCAGCAGAGGCGAGCGTGACACAAAGCGTAGTTCTGACAAGCCTTGCTGTTTCGGTGGATTTGGATTTACGTCATTACATGACAAGGCTTAGCTCTGTCTCCTCTCCCTCTTGGCTCGTTTTTCCACGACCATTTCCCTCATCATTCTCCTCACCTTGATCCCCCTCCTCTCCCTCCCCACTTTCTCCTTTGTTCCCCTCATCTGCCCATGTCATGGCACCTGTTCTTTCTTACCCCTGTCCTGTCCATGCTGCACACTGCGCAGCTTCCTCAAGCCTCTGTTCCCCGTGTCGCTGCGCTGCCCTCGCTCCTACGACGAGCTCCGCTTCGACCCATCGTAAGGCGCCGCCACCACCCATCACATCCCATCGCATCGCATTGCATCGCATCGCATCGCATCACTTGCACATCGCCATCACATCACATCATATCGCATTACGTGAAAACTACCTTCCTATCTCTACTCCCTCGCACCCCCTCCCTCCTCCCTCCCTCTCTTCCCACAAGCTGCAGTACCGGCTCATTCATTCCCATCCCACCCACCCACGCACGAGTGACTCTCTCCTCCTGCAAATCTCCTTCTTTCCCCACCCCCACAACCCGCTCTCAAACCCACCCTCCCTCCCTCGCCTCCTCCTTACCCCCTCCCCCTTCCCAGAAAACCCCAGTGCCGCCTGCTCTCGACGCACGACGACTAATCGCTGATGACCAAGCTCCCCCCCGCCGACACGTCGGTGATCTCGTCCATGCGCGACCCCGTGGACCGCGTCCTCAGCGCCTATGAGTTCACCGTCGAGAGGAGAAGGGGGGAGAGAGGGACCCTTCTGCCTGCTGGCTACCCCCTGCCGTCCAACGCGCCCCAGAGCCCGCGCAGTGCAGCCCCACGCACGCAAACTCATGCCTCTTCCTTCCTTCCTTCCTTCCTGTCAAACCCCCTCCTCGCCTCCTTCCGTCCCTCCCCTCCCTCTCCCCCTCCCAGGAAGCCTCAATGCCGGCTCCTCTCGACGCACGACGACTACTCGCTGATGACGAAGCTCCCCCCCGCCAACACGTCGGTGGTCTCGTCCATGCGCGACCCCGTGGACCGCGTGCTCAGCGCCTACGAGTTCACCGTCGAGGTCGCCTCGCGCTCGCTGCACTGGGTGCCCAGCCTCAACCCCGGGGAGAGCCTGCTGGAGGCCAGAAGAAACGCCAGGAAGCGGTTCTCGAAGGCGTCACACGCGGAGACGAGGCGCGTGTGGCCGTGGAGCATGCTCATTCCTATCATGGAGGATGATCTCTGGCTCAGAGTGCGTGGGCTGGGTGGGGTTGGGTTCGGTTTGGTGGGATGGGTGGGTGGGTGGTTGTGAACCTGGAGGGTGTGGCCGTGGAGCATGCTGATTCCTATCATGGAAGACGATCTGTGGCTGCGGGTGGGTTGAGCAGGGTGGGTGGGTTGGTTTGGGTTGGGTTGGTGCATGTGTGTGATGTGATGCGTGAGTGGGCACCATATGCCTCCCGCTCGCTGCACTGGGTGCCCAGCCTCAACCCCAGGTGGGTGGGTTGGGTCCGGCTGGCTTCGGTTTGGTGGGTTTGTGGTTTCGGTTCGGCTGGGTGCGTGCAATGTGTGAGTGATGTGTGACGCTGCTGCTGATATGTGAGTGGAATGGAGTGGAGTGGAGTGGAGTGGAGTGGAGTGGAGTGGAGGGTGGGTACACTGGTAACTGCCTTGGTTTCATTTCAGCCTGCTGGTTCCAATGGACGAATGGCTGATGGGCCCCTCTCCTCTCTCCCCCCCACCCCTCTCCTCTCTCCCCTTCCCTCGCTCTCCCCCCGCGCTTCCCCCACTCATCCCCCCCGCTCTCCCCCCGCCCCACCAGCCCCCCACTCCGCCCCCCTGCAGCACAACAGCACGGAGTCTGCCGTCCCCGGGCAGCACTTTGTTTCTCCTGGCTGATTCGTTTTCCCCTCCCTTCTCTTCCACTCGTTCCTCTTCCCTTCTCTTCTCCCTTCGCCCCTCTTCCTTCTCCCCTCTCCCCCGGCTTCTCCCTTCTGCAGCGCAACACCACGGAGATCCCACTGCCTCCCGAGGGGTCGGAGTCGCTGAACGGGTACGACAAGGGGTACCTAGTGATGCCGCTCATCGACTATGTCAACAGCCCTGCCGCCATGGATCTCATTCACAACGGCGCCACCTTCCATGTGAGTAGCCGGCGCCGCATCATTTCGCGGATGAGATTTTTTTGCGCTTTTTTTAAAATGTTTTTTTGCGCCTACTCTTTTTTTAGCGCCTACTTTTTTTTTTTAGCGCCTACATGAAGTCATTCACGTGATAGTGTTTTTTTTTTCTTCTACTTCTCCTTCTTCCAGAATAGGTGCAAATGCTTGCGGTTGGCGCTTTTGCCTGGTGTGTCTGGTTCCTTCCTCTCTCCTTGGTGAAACATACCCATCCACCCATCCACCCACCCCACCACCACCCTCCCACTCACCCTCTCGCTCTCTCTCACCAACCACCCACCCACGGGCCCACCGTCCCACTTGCAGGTGGCAGGCATAACACAGAACTCCCGGTACCCCAACGCACGCATGCTGCGGCGCTGTGCGGCCACGTTCAAGGACTCTGCAGACAAGATTCTCACCCTCGCCAAGGTGCATACCTTCCCTCCCCCCCTTGCACTGCACTGCACTGCACCAGACGCATACCCACGCTCCCTTGTAAGTTACACCCCACTCTCATGAGTCGCCTCGACAGCTGTCATGCTGCGGCGCTGTGCGGCCACGTTCAAGGACTCTGCAGACAAGATTCTCACCCTCGCCAAGGTGCATACCTCCCCTCCCCCTCTCCCCCCCCCCCCCCTCCCCCTCTGCACTGCACCACACCACACTCATACCCTGCCCACCCTTGTGAGTCGACTCAAAAGTCGTTTTGCTGCGGTGCTGTGCGGCCGGCCATGTACAAGGATTCGGCAAGCAGCTGACTTTTGATTGAGTCGACTCTAAAGTCAGCTCGCTGTGTGGCGGCCATGTACAAGGATTCGGCAGAAAAGATACTCACCCTCGCCAACCAAGGTGGACACGACTCCCCTCCCCCCTCCTTTCCCCCCCCCCCCCCCCCCCCCTCTCCCCCCCCACCCCACCCCACTCCCCCCTTTTCCCCCTACACTCACTCTCTGATCAAAGCCACACTCACCCTTGTCAGTGTGCTCCCGCCCTGCATATCCCCCCTGCCCTTCACTCGCTCTCAAGCCTAGCTCTGTTGGTGATTTCATTTAGCCTTTCTAGATTCTTGTGTGGCAACAGCTGCTTATCGATCCACCCAAGCATACTGCACCCAAGCGTTCTGCACCCAAGCGTTCTGCACCCAAGCGTTCTGCACCCAAGCGTTCTGCACCCAAGCGTTCTGCACCCAAGCGTTCTGCACCCAAGCGTTCTGTGCAGCACAGCATTTCCCTGTTTCCACGTGCTTCTCCCTCCCACGCGCTTCTTTGTTTCCTGAAATCATGTTGCATGGTGGTGTATTTTATGGTGCATCCTGCATGCTGCATGGTAGTGCATGGTGGTGTATGGTGCTGCATGGTGGTGCATGGTGGTGCATGGTGGTGCATGGTGGTGCATGGTGGTGCATGGTTCTGCACACAGGCGCGTCTGGCGAACATGCTGCATGTGGGGCTGACAGAGGTGCATGAGGAGTCTGCTGTGCTGTTTGCCAAAGTCTTAAGAATAGCCTACCTCCGTGCTGCCCTGCCCCCTCCCTCGTATGCATGCAGGCGCGTCTGGCGAACATGCTACATGTGGGGCTGACAGAGGTGCATGAGGAGTCTGCCGTGCTGTTTGCCGCCACCATTGGCCGATCCCTGCACTCCGCACCGCACCTCAACAACGGTAAATATGCTCTCTCTTCTATCTTCTCTCCTCTCTCTGCTCAGCCACCTCTCTTCGCTTCCGTGCCTGTGCTTGAGTTGACCGAAACTTCATGCTATGTGTCGTGTGTGATGAGGTGACTTTTGAGTCGACTCAAAAGTCACCTCATGCCATGTGCCGTGGGTGATGAGCCTATTTTTTAGTCGACCCTTGCAGTTGACTGAGCCTTAGTGCTATGTGCCGTGCTGCCAGCCACCATTGGCAGATCACTTCATGCTGCACCACACATCAATCAACAGTACTTCTTCTTTCGTCTTGTCTATCTTTTTCTGGATCGACTTAAACATATGTGCTGTTTCGTCTCCACCATAGGCACCACGCTCCCTCTCTTCCCAAAAAGTCCTTATATTTCCCTCCTCTCTCTCTCGAACGGTCCGTTGTATTAATATCACCAAGGTACACACAGGGTAAAGCAGCAAACCACACAAAACAAAACAAAGCTACTGGTGCATCTCTCTCTAATGGCCCTTTCATTGATAGTCAAGGCGTACAGACATGCAAGGTATAAGTCAACGCAAAGGTGGGGCTAGTACTGCCTATACTTCCTATTCTCTCATCCTGTGCTGCGCCCTCTAAGTGAGATCCAGTGATGGATCAAGAACCGCGAGGCAGTCCCCAAGGGACGGTGCCTCACCCACTGCTTCTAGTAGCGGGTTTTCAACTGCTGCTGCTATGTTGCACTTTTCCAGGTACCCAATCGACTGCCCACGTTGAAGAGCCACTGACCACCGCTGCCGGTATTGGTGTAAGAGCTTGGCAGCTTGGTAGGAGGTGGGCTCGGCGTTGAAAAACCGCCGTGCAGCCGTTTCTGCGAGTAGTTTCAAGAAGTCTACTGACTCTGGGCAGGGACACCCGTATGTCTCGACCGCTAGTGGGAAGAACTTCACCCACTCTGGGCGGTCCTTGTTAAGGCCGTGTTTCTTATCTGCTGCCTCCCGTGCCACCCACCCCCTCCCCTTGGTGGCGTTCTCATCGCGGGTGCTGATGGGGTCTGTTACCGTCACATCGCAGATGTAGACGGCGCCAGTGGAGCGGCAGCGTAAGGCCAGGTCTGCCTTCTTCTCCTCCACTGGGCTGAAGGCGACCGTCTCGATGTGCACTATGAAGCCTGCATCTTGCGCCATCCGCGCACACTCATCTCTGAGTTCATTGTGTGTGTTTGTGCGCCCCCCCCCTGTTCCGCATCGTAGTAGGTGATTCGGGAGCCGCTTATCCGGGATCTCCACCTTCTCTCTCTCTCTCTCGAATGGTCCTGGCATTTCTTTGGGGGGTGGTACAACGGAAGGTGCAAAACACACAAGCACAAGCTCAACAGAAAACCGGCATCCTAACTATACCAAGTCCCCTACCTACTCTGCCCCCCCCCCCTGTCCGACCCTACTGGTCGAACGGGGCCTCAATCAACTGGTGCAGCTGTCCCTCACTGAGAGGGATGATGGGTCCTCTAAAACCGAGCTCGTCCGCCGCCAAGGCCTCATTGGTCTTGGTGCGGAGGGCGTTGGCCTGTGCCCGCTGGAGGCACACGCTCCAACGCTGGCGGTACTCCGTCAGAAGCTTCGCTGCTTCGTAGGAGGTAGGGGCTGCGTTAAACCGCAGCTTTGCCGCCAGCTCCGCGCATTGCCGCAGGTAAGCCAGCACCCCCGGCGAGGGGTAGCCGTATGTTTCCACTGCGAGCGCGTGGAACCCCACCCACGTGTTCCGCCGTGCGTACTTCTCCTCCTTTTTTGCCGCTGCCGCCCTAGCTGCCCAACCAGGAGCTCGGTTGCAGTTCTCGTCCTGGTATGACATCGGGTCCGTCACAGTCACGTCGCACATCCAAACCTCCCCGGTCAGTGGATGACGGATGGTGACATCCGCCTTTAGGTTTTCAACCAGTGAGTAGACATACGTCTCCTTATGAACCGTAAAACCCGCCTCAGCCCCGATATTTGCTATCTCATCCCGCAGAGCGTGATGGGTAGCGGTCCTCCCTTTCCCCTTCTCGCAGCGCATGAGGTGGTTGGGGAGGCGGTCGTCGGGGAAGGTGGTGCGGTAGCGGCAGTCACAGCGTCTAGGCACTGGGAGGGGGAGGCCTAGGCGGAAGGCCGCTGCAGTTGAGAGCTGGGAGGGGCCCATTCGGAGCGAGGGGATGAGCGGGATCGCCAGCAGCCAATCCCCCGCTCCTGGGCCTAGCACCGACTGCATCCGTTGCGCATGGCCTGAAAGGGGGTTGGGGCGCATCCGCCTTGCCTCGCGCATGGCCCTCAAGAAGCGGCGGGAGTGAACCGCCAGCGCTAGGCTCTGCTGTAGCTTCAGTCCCTTGGGGTCTGTCTTCCCGGCCTGGAGCACCTCGAGAGCCTCGGGTGGGAGAGCTGCCTCAGCCGCGGCGAGGCGTGCAGGCAGCGCGTGCGGGGAGCCGTGGGTAGGGTCCAGTAGGGGGAGGAGCGCGGCGACAGCAGGGTGTAACGACTCCTCCAGGGAGTATAGAAGGTGGGCGGCGCTGATCACTGAAGCGAGGTAAGCGTAGCTGCCTTCAACGGCGGGGTCAGTGATGCCCAGGCCTCCCAGAGTCACGGGCAGGGCCGCCTGCCGCCAAATCCTCCGCCTCTCCCGGGCACTCCTCGGTCTCATGATGTGGGCCGAGTCCAGGAAGGTGTGTAGGAGCTGCTCCCCCCAAGCTGACCATTCCGCTTCTCTCTCTCTCTCTCTCTCTCTCTCTCTCTCTCTCTCTCTCTCTCTCTCTCTCTCTCTCTCTCTCTCTCTCTCTCTCTCTCTCTCTCTCTCTCGCCCTCTTTCCTCCCTCGTCCTCATCGCCATCCCTCCTTCCCTCTCTTCCTTCCTTGTAACCCTCCCCTTCCTCCTTCCTTGTGTGCAGATAATCCGAACCCGAATCAAGAGAACGCCCAGACTGAGGTGAGTGAGCTGAGCAGGGGGCGTGAAGAGAGGGGGTTTGATTGAGTCTCTGAGATGGTGTAACCAAAAACAGATAGACCGATCCAGAATCCAGAGAATGCCCGGACTGAGGTGAGTGAGCTGAGCAGGGGGCGTGGTGGGAGGGGGGTTTCTTGTGTGAGACGTCTCTGTTTAGATTCAGAGGACTCAAGAGGATCTGAACAAGAGTGCAGAGGAAACCAGGCCTGAGGACGTGAGGTGAGTGAGCTGAGCAGGGGTTGTGGGGGGGGGAGGGTTTGTGGTTTGAGGCGTCTAAACCCAAAGCAGATGATTCGAACAAGAGTCCAGACCCTAGAGGAAGCCAAGCCTGAGGAGGACCTGAGGTGAGCGTGAGCAGGGAGGCACAGGCAGAGACAGAGGATGCAGGGGGTGTGTGGGGAGGGGAGAGGATGGTTGTGGCTTGCATTGCAGGTTGGCGAGGTGACTTTTGAGTCGACTCAAAAGTCACCTTGTGAGGGGAGAGGATGGTTGTGGCTTGCATTGCAACATTGCTTGGCAGAAGGCGGGGAGGGTTGCAGCAGCTGGGGCGGAGGCTTGTTGTTTCATGCAGTGGCACAGTACTGACACTAATACTCACGTTATGTCAACGTTGGTGAGTCAATGGTGCCTCACTGCCCCCACTCCCACCCTGCTCCCTGCTCCCTGCTCCCCTTCCCCTGCTCCCCTTCCCCTGCTCCCCTTCCCCTGCTCCCCTTCCCCTGCTCCCCTTCCCCTGCTCCCCTTCCCCTGCTCCCCTTCCCCTGCTCCCCTTCCCCTGCTCCCCTTCCCCTGCTCCCCTTCCCCTGCTCCCCTTCCCCTGCTCCCCTTCCCTGCTCCCCTTCCCCTGCTCCCCTTCCCCTGCTCCCCTTCCCCTGCTCCCCTTCCCCTGCTCCCCTTCCCCTGCTCCCCTTCCCCTGCTCCCCTTCCCCTGCTCCCCTTCCCCTGCTCCCCTTCCGCTGCTCCCCTTCCCCTGCTCCCCTTCCCCTGCTCCCCTTCCCCTGCTCCCCTTCCCCTGCTCCCCTTCCCCTGCTCCCCTTCCCCTGCTCCCTTCCCCTGCTCCCCTTCCCCTGCTCCCCTTCCCCTGCTCCCCTTCCCCTGCTCCCCTTCCCCTGCTCCCCTTCCCCTGCTCCCCTTCCCCTGCTCCCCTTCCGCTGCTCCCCTTCCCCTGCTCCCCTTCCCCTGCTCCCCTTCCCCTGCTCCCCTTCCCCTGCTCCCCTTCCCCTGCTCCCTTCCGCTCCCCTTCCCCTGCTCCCCTTCCCCTGCTCCCTTCCCCTGCTCCCCTTCCCCTGCTCCCTTCCCCTGCTCCCCTCCCCTGCTCCCCTTCCCCTGCTCCCCTTCCGCTGCTCCCTTCCCCTGCTCCCTTCCCTGCTCCCCTTCCCCTGCTCCCCTTCCCCTGCTCCCCTTCCCCTGCTCCCCTTCCCCTGCTCCCCTTCCCCTGCTCCCCTTCCCTGCTCCCCTTCCCCTGCTCCCCTTCCCTGCTCCCCTTCCCTGCTCCCCTTCCCCTGCTCCCCTTCCCCTGCTCCCCTTCCCCTGCTCCCCTTCCCCTGCTCCCTTCCCCTGCTCCCTTCCCCTGCTCCCCTTCCCCTGCTCCCCTTCCCCTGCTCCCCTTCCCCTGCTCCCCTTCCCTGCTCCCCTTCCCCTGCTCCCCTTCCCCTGCTCCCCTTCCCCTGCTCCCCTTCCCCTGCTCCCCTTCCCTGCTCCCCTTCCCCTGCTCCCCTTCCCCTGCTCCCCTTCCCCTGCTCCTTCCCCTGCTCCCCTGCTCTCCTTCCCCTGCTCCCCTTCCCCTGCTCCCCTTCCCCTGCTCCCCTTCCCCTGCTCCCCTTCCCCTGCTCCCCTTCCCCTGCTCCCCTTCCCCTGCTCCCCTTCCCCTGCTCCCCTTCCCCTGCTCCCCTTCCCCTGCTCCCCTTCCCCTGCTCCCCTTCCCCTGCTCCCCTTCCCCTGCTCCCCTTCCCCTGCTCCCCTTCCCCTGCTCCCCTTCCCCTGCTCCCCTTCCCTGCTCCCCTTCCCCTGCTCCCCTTCCCCTGCTCCCCTTCCCCTGCTCCCCTTCCCCTGCTCCCCTTCCCCTGCTCCCCTTCCCCTGCTCCCCTTCCCCTGCTCCCCTTCCCCTGCTCCCCTTCCCTGCTCCCCTTCCCCTGCTCCCCTTCCCCTGCTCCCCTTCCCCTGCTCCCCTTCCCCTGCTCCCCTTCCCCTGCTCCCCTTCCCCTGCTCCCCTTCCCCTGCTCCCCTTCCCCTGCTCCCCTTCCCCTGCTCCCCTTCCCCTGCTCCCCTTCCTCCCCTTCCCCTGCTCCCCTTCCCCTGCTCCCCTTCCCCTGCTCCCCTCCCTGCTCCCCTTCCCTGCTCCCCTTCCCCTGCTCCCCTTCCCCTGCTCCCCTTCCCCTGCTCCCCTTCCCCTGCTCCCCTTCCCCTGCTCCCCTTCCCCTGCTCCCAAATCCCATGCACGGCAGGCGAGTGTGATGCTACGGGACCACTACAAGCGGTGTGTGTGTGGAGAAGCAGCATGGCTCAGTGCCCCCCCTTCCCTTCCATGCTCACCCTCCACCTTTCCCTATCCTACAGGCGAGTGTGACGCTACTGGACCACTACAAGCGGTGTGTCGACAAGCAGAGGGAGAAGTACAACACGCGCCGCACACAGGCCATGCAGACCCTGGGGCCCCTCAACTTCTCGCACCAGGTGGGTGCGTGGGTGCGTGACTCTTGAGCCGACTTATGGGGCGCCACAGGGGTACGCACAGGCAATAGGGACCCTGGGTCCCTCAACTTCTCGCACCAGGTGGGTGGGTGGGTGGGTGGGTGGTGAGTGACACTTGAGGCAAGTTGGGCGCCACTAATAGCATTCCGCACTTCAGTGGCACCCGCAGGGAAACAGGCAATGGGCGCCTGGGGCGTGGCGTGGCGTGGCGTGGCGTGTCGTGTCGTGGCGTGGCGTGTCGTGTCGTGTCGTGTTGTGTCGTGTCATGTCGACCTCGACCTCTAACACGAGGCAGGGACTCGACTGGGACATACAGACACCGTCCCCATGCATTTCTCTTCCCAACCACTCGCCACCGTCCACTCCGCTCCACTCACTCCTGTTGTGTCACCCACTCGGTTCCCTTCCCAACCTCCCCCCCCTTCACGTGCACGCTTGCATTGCACACCCACCCACTCCGAACGCCGTTCTTCCCAACCACTCCCTCTCCTCCACCCTGCGATCACCACAGGAGCGCAAGGGCATCCGCAAGGAGGTGGTGCAGCGCATTCGTGAGCTCAACATGTTGGATAGCGAGCTGCTGGACTTTGCCCGCCAGGTCTTCAAGCAGCAGCAGGTGCGTAGTCAGCTGTGCTGTGCGGTAATGTGCGGTGCTGTGATGAGCTATCGTGTGCTCTGTCCTGCGCTGCTCTGCTTTGCTTTGCTCTCGCCCTTCCGTCTCTGTCCTGCGCTTTGCAACTACACACTTTCCCCATCCCTACCCAACCGCCCTCCTGCTCCCCCTGCGCGCTGTTCCACGTTGCAGTTGGCATATGCGGACATGATCAATGCAGTGATGGAGGAGTGGGCTATGGACAACAACACTCCTGTCCTTACCCATGCATACTCCAACCACCCCGTGATGGGAAAAATGGCCCTATGGACAAGACCATTCCCCTCACCCCCTCCCACCCTGCCCCTTAGTGTTGCGGTGCGTTGCTGTGCCATTGCAGTTGGCATATGCAGATATAATCAAGGCGGTGATGGAGTAGTGGCCCTTCACATGGGCAACAATGCCCCTCTCCTTACCTCTATCCCTCTCTTGTCCTGACTCGCTGTATCCTTTCTTTCGTGCAGTTGGCGTATGCGGACATGATCAAGGCGGTGATGGAGGAGTGGCCTATCACATGGGGCAACAACACTCTTCCTTACCTATATAAACCCCCCCTATCCCCGTCCCCACTCTCCCCTCACTCCCCTTTGTGCAGTTGGCATATGCCGACATGATCAAAGCGGTGATGGAAGAATGGCCCATGGACAACAACACAGACAACAGCCACATCGGCCGCAGGAGACGACTCTCCTCCCCCTATGCCTCCCCTCGCAGCACCACCGGTAGCAGCAGCAGCAGAATGTTTACGAGAGGAGGACCAGTCGCCCCTGCTGCTGGTGGTGATGCTGCGGCTTCTGGTGCTGCTGCTGACTCTGTCTCTCTAGCTGGGGATGCTAGCAGCATGCTGCAACAAGTGGGTGATAGTGATGCAGCAGTGGCAGCTGAGGGTGAGGATGGTGGTGATGATGATGGGTATGGAGACGATAATGACTGTATGTCCTACGCGTTTGAAGCAGTGGCCGGGCAATCAAGCGGCTCGCTGTAACACCGTATTTGCATTCCCTTTTTAGGGAAATACTACATGGCTGGTTGGATGAATCCTGCATCTGCGATTTGTTTATTGTTTTGATAAAAAAGAATACCGTAGGCATTTTTGGCCTGTCTCACACTACTGTATGTATTGAACCAATCACTGCATGAGACGAGAGTTGTTTATGTGTTCATGCACACTGTACGCTATTGTACTCGGTTCTAAACCAGCACTGTGAATACATGGCCAAATGGGTACACATTGACGGTGGCACTAAGGAGGTGGCGGCAAGATGAATGATGGAATGGAGTACGAGGAAATTCTTAGTGGTTAGTGAGTACATGCATACAGTGGGATAGATATATAATTTACACGTCAACAGTGGGAGAGGAGGCACGGTATCGTACCGTAATAGGGGCATTCCATTCATCGAAAGAGAGTAGTTCTTAAAACAATGGGTGACCTCACAGAGTGCCCCCGCTCATCCTTCCAAGTCAGACTCCCATAAAGAAACCTATTGAACGTCAAACCCGGAGGTGAAAAAAAGGTCACTGAGAAGCTGACCGAGTGTCCGGGCAGGATGCGAAATCTTTGTGGCGTCACCTTGGTGTAAACTAATGGAGGGCTCTTCACCACAGCCCTGTAAGTCGAAGCTTTCGCCGCAACATTTGTTACCCTACGTCTCACAGTTACGAATCCTGAAAACCTCGTCACCGAAATACTCGGCCGGTTTAACCGAGCTGCTTGTATGGGGTACAGCCTCTCCCCAGGATAAGCCGCCGCCGCCAATCCCATGTTCTGCCCGGCCAGAAAATTCCGAAAATCGGCCGCCCGGAGATCATATGTCAGTCCAGGATCGAGCAGCCGCTGAGGATCCACGTGTCCTGCTCCCATTTGCCATGGACTCGCCCGTCTCCCCGCCCAGTTCTGAATCGGCCGGCCGTTGCTGCTTGTAACGCGGGCTGTAGTGGTAATCGCAGACATGATCTGACCCACACTCCAGGAAGGATTCCGCTGGATCAGCAACGCAGCAATCCCCGCTATATGCGGGGTAGCCATGGACGTTCCCGACAGCTGTGCAAAGAGTGAGGTGGGTGGCGAAGCGAGCCTTGGAGCGGCGGGTGCAGCAGCCCACAGGTTCACTCCCGGGGCTATGATGTCGGGCTTGAGAATGTCGTTGGTAGGGCGGCCGTTGCGCGGGCGAGAGGAGAGAGAGAGAGGCCCGGTGGAGGAGAAGTCGGCGACGTAGGGGGGAGCAGGTGCAGAGGTAGTGCTGTTAGGCGGCACCGCTGATGCTGATGCTGATGGTGATGGTGAAGCGTTGGGGTTTGTGGTGGTGGTGGTGGTGGTGGTGGTGGTGGTGGTGGCAGTACTGGTGTTTAAGGTGGGTGTGAGTGTGGATGGGGTGACTGTTGCGAGCGTGAGTGCAGACGCGTGTGAGGAGGCTTTGGCGAAGGACACACCGGAGTAGGTCACCGAGCGACTGATGGTGCTGGAGGGAGGGAGGAAAGGGGCGGATAGTAGAAATGGACAAGCAGTTAGCACAACGAGTTTTTGAGTAGACCAAGTAATTGTGTGAGTGTGGATGCATGTGAGGATGATTTGGTGAATGACACACCCGAGTAGGTCACTGAGCGACTGATGGTGCTGGAGGGAGGGAGGAAGGGGGCGGAGAGGCAGGCAAGCACAACCACACACACACACACACACACACACACACACACACACACACACACACACACACACACACACACACACACACACACACACACGCGCGCGCGCGCACGCACGCACGCACGCACGCACGCACGCACACAGCAGAGACACATCAATCCAGACTCAAGGCGCTCCTTAAGTTGAGTGAGAGGGCATGAAACGAAGTTGACTGTTAAAGGGCTCTGATGTGGGCAGGTGGGAGGGCATGGCATGGCATGGCGTGGCATGGCATGGCGTGGCATGGCATGGCGTGGCATGGCATGGCACGGCACGGTACTGAGTGGAACTGTGTGGTTACCTGGCTCCAACGGTGATGTAGTAGGGGAAGAAGTTGTAGACAGTGCGCGCAAAGGGAAGTGGCAGGTTGTGGCCTAGCATAGGAAATGGAGTGACACGGTACGGTGCGGCATGGCACGGCATGGCACGGTACGGTACGGCATGGCACGGCATGGCACGGCATGGCACGGCACGGTACGGCATGGCATGGCACGGCATGGTACGGTATAGTACGGCACGGTACGGCATGGCACGGAGGTGTACCTGGCTCCAACGGTGATGTAGTAGGGGGAGAAGTTGTAGACAGTGCGCGCAAAGGACGGCGCACCGGCGTTGCCCGCCGCAAACACCACGACTATTCCTGCCTGGGCGGGTGCACAGGCGCATGCGGGGCGTGGTGAGGGCAGGGGGAGGACACGGGGAGGGAGACGGAGGGAGAGGGGATGCCCAGGGGAGGAAGGGGGGAGGGGGAGGCGGAGGGGAGGGGTAAGGGGAGGGGGGGAGAGGGGATGGGAAAGGAGCGGAGGGGAGAAAAAGAACCACAGTGAGTGTGTCTCAACGGAATATAAATCCAGCAAGGTATTATTAATGATGGAGTACGAAATGGCTGCTTTGCAGACACACAACGTGCACGAGCAATGAGGGTGCAAGGAGCGGGGGCGAGAGCAATGAGAGCGCGGTTTCTTTGAGGCGCTTGGAACCAGAGGAATCAGACACACCTGCTCCTCCCCAAACTCCTCACCTGAAAGGCCAAAGCCCTTCCCCCCAGTCCCACCTCAAGAGCGCGGAGGAACACCAGGTCATCAAAGTATGTGGCCGAGGGGTTGTACCCCCCCCCAGAGACAGGCTAACTTGAGTCGACTCTCGAATCGACTCAAAAGCCCCCCACCACCACACCACCCACCTCAAAGGCGCGGAGGAACGGCAGGTCATCAAAGTACGTAGCCGAGGGGTTGTACCCGCCCAGGGACAGGCTCAGCACATCCACACCATCGGATACGGCCTGATCCACGGCTGCAAAGAGGTCCGCGTAGTTGCCTGAGCCGTACCCCCCCGCCACCCGCCAGAGCACCTTGTACATGGCTATGCGCGCCCGCGGCGCCATGCCGCTCGCCCTGCCGAGGGACTGCGTGGCAGAGACCTGTGCTGCCGTGTTGCCGTTGCCAGCTGCCGCTCTGGTAAGGGGGGGGGGGTGGGGGGGGGGGGGGGGGGGGGGGGGGAAGAAGGGGAGGGCAGCACGGAGATGGCGTTGGTGAAGGAAGGTCGCATGGGTTAGGGAATGCAGGCAGCCCATGCATTCCCTCCCCGGCTGGGGCTTGCACCCTCACCCCCACCATCTCCCCTTTTCCGCCACCTGCCAGAGCACCTTGTACATGGCTATGTGTGCACGTGGTGCCTGCCATGTCGCTTGCCCGACTGAGGATCTGCGTGGCAGACTTTTGAGGCGCCTCAAAAGGATCTGCGTGGCAGAGACCTATGCTGCTGTGTTGCCGTTGCCCGCTGCCGCTCTGGTTGGTGTGGGGGAAGGGGAGGGGGGAGTTGGAAGGAAGTGTGGAGTTGGGAGGGGGGGGGGGAGGAGAGCTTAATTGTGAGGATTGCAAGGCATGGAATGTAATTGGGTTGGGTTGGGTTGGGTTGGTTCGCCACCCTCCATGTGGAAGCGCCACACTCCATGTGGAAGCGCCACACTCCATGTGGAAGCGCCACACTCCATGTGGAAGCGCCACACTCCTCCACGCCCCAACAGCCCATCCACACCACACCCCTTTCCCCCGGCCACTCACCCCGCACCGCACACGACATGCCGTGCTCCACAGCACAGCGTCCCTGGGCGACACTTAGTCACACATCTATATTGGCGTGACTTTTGAGAATTCTCAAAAGTGACTTTTTGGGAGTGACTTTTGAGAATTCTCAAAAGTCTATATTGGAGTGACTTTTGAGAATTCTCAAAAGTCACACATCCTGTCTCCCCACTTGCATTCCTCCCCTCTTTGCTTCCCTCCCAGACACCCCCCACCCCACCCCACCACGCACTCAGGGCGTATCCCTGGGTGGTGGCAGTACCACTGTAGCAGGCACTGTTGGTGGCATGCGGGAAAACCGCATGCGACCAACATTTTGCCCGAGGCGTGCGCGACACGAATTTGGTGGCATTGAAATGACATTTTTGGGACATTGCCCAATCACGCACCTGTATTTGCACGCCAAATTTCCTGACACCAACCTGACGTTTTATGTGTTCGTGGAAGGCTGCCATCTACAGTGGCTCTGCCACCACCCAGGGATACGCACTCACCCTGTGCACCACGTGCCGTACCCCACAGCGTCCCTGGGCAATTTTTCACTCGCCTCATGAATGCACACACCCACTGCCTTTCCCCGCCTCTTCCTCGTCCCGCACACCACCCACCCACACCCCGCCCACTCACCCTGCGCACCACGTGCCGTGCCCCACAGCGTCTCTGGGCGACGCGTACTCGCGCGTCCAGTCAATCCTCGTGCCGCCCGCCTCGAGTGCCGCCCGGAAGCTGCCGCCGCCCACAAGCTTGCCGGAGCAGGCAGTGGCGGGGAAGTCGGAGGAGGTGGGGCAGGCCCCTTTGAAGGATGAAGGTGGGGGGCCGTAGGGCGCGGACGACTGGTGGGGGGGAGAGGAGCGAAGGGGATGGGGGAAGAAGAAACTTGACACGTCTGCTTTAGAGTCGACTCAAAAGCTTGACACGTCTCAACAGTAGTTGGAGGAGGTGGGGCAGGCACCGTTGAAGGATGCTAGTGGGGGGCCGTAGGGCGTGGATGACTGGTAGGGGAGGAGGAGGCATGGGGGGAAGGGGCGGGAAGGGGAAGGGGTGGGGTGGGGTGAGGGTTTAGGGAAGGGCGGAAGGTGAGACGGGCGGAAGTGGGAGGAGGGGCAGGCCCCGTTGAAGGACGCGGGTGGGGGACTGTAGGGCGTGGATGACTGGTGGAGGAGGTGACGACGGGGAAGAGAGGAGGGAGTAAGTGGGTGGGTGGGGAAAAGGGGGGAGGGATGAGAGGGGAGGAGAACGGTGGGAGGGGGAGGAGGGATGGGACGATGGGTTGAGAGGGGCCAGAGAGAGGGAAAAAGGAGGGAGAAGGGAGAGTGAAGAAGGGAGGGAAGCGATGGATGGTGGGGAGGGCGGGGAGGAAGAGAGGGGAGAAGGATGGAGACGGGCTTCTCTGCTTGTGACTTTTGAGGCGCCTCACAAGGGACGGGCTTCTCTGCTTGAATGAATAGCACCCAGAGTCTGAAATGGCATCTCGCGCACAGAAGACAAAGCAAGAATGAACACAATCAATAGTAGTCACATCAATAGTAGTACTAATAATAATAGTAGTACGAATAAAGGTCTTCCAGATTCTCTCTTGCGCGCACGTCATTGGAGAAGAACCGGTGCTCAGGCCAGATGCCCATGTCCACCACCCCCACCACCACGCCCTCCCCACTCTCACCCACAAACGAGAGAACCACCGCCCACTCTCTATCCCGCACGCACGCACGCACGCACGTCATTGGCGAAGGACCGGTGCTCGGGCCAGATGCCCGTGTCCACCACCCCCACCACCACGCCCTCCCCCGCGCTGCCCTCCCCGCCCGCGGCGGCCCAGAGCGACTGCGGGAGCTGGAGAAACGCGGGCGTGGCGGTGGTGAGCGCGCGCACCTCCGCGCTGCCCCGCACTGCTGCCACTGCTGGGTGGCGTGACAGGCGCCACACCTGCTGCGGGGACAGCAGCGCCGCGAAGGAGTTGCCTGCGAAGGCGTAGCTGGTGGGGGGGAGGGAGGGACGGAAGGGAGGAGGGAGGGAAGAAGGGATTGAGGTAGGGAATGAGGCGGTGGAGGAGGAGAGGAATGGTGAATATGTCGTAAAGTAACCTCACACTGCAACACATTCCGCTGCACAACACATTCCGCTGCACAACACATTCCGCGCGTCAGTCCTGTCCTACACTACACCTACCTATCCCTACGTCCCACTTCCCCGGTTCCATATTCACCTGCCTCCCAACTCGCTCTGCTTCACTCACACCCGCACATTTCAACCGCTCGTATGAGTTTCCTCCAACCGCTTCAGAAATCCTCGCCGTTTCGCCCTCTCACCGTCTCACCTTCTCACCTGCCCCCTGAGACGAGTCTACTGCACAGCCGGGATCCAGCACTGCACGGGGAGGAAATACTTGCGTAACGAGCCGGATCGACTCAAAACACACCTCACCGTCTCACATGCCCACATGAGTCGACCACACAGCCGGCCGGGACTCAGCACAGCACGAAGCCCCATGACTTGCGTAATGAGCCGATTCATATGGCTGGATCAGAGCTGATTCCCGCCTGCGCTCTCACCCACGCACGCACCTATACTCCAGGTGCCTTCCGATTGTCTAGGTGCCTCAAAACCCACGCTCACTCACTCATTCACTCACTCACCTACCTATCCACCACATGAGTGGCGCTGAGCCTTATATGTTGTACGCATCTCATGGGAAGTCTAGACAACCTTTTGAGACGTCTCAAAACTTTTGAGACGTCTCAAAAGTCGACCACATGAGTGGCGCTGAGCCTTATATGTTGTACGCATCTCATGGGAAGTCTAGAAAACCCCTGCGCTCTCGCGCCCGCACGCCCGCCCGTACGTCCGCACGTCTGCACCTACCTATACAGCAGCTGCTCGGCGCGGAGGCCGACATGAGCGGCCACCAGGCGCTGCTGCCGCTGCAGCATGCGCTTGAACGCGCGAACGTGCGGAAGCCGCGGGTTCACCCGCCACTGCCGCCGCTTCCCCCCATTCGCACTCGCGGTAACTCCGTGCGCGCTTCCCGCTCCTGCCGCTCTCGCTGCTCCTGCTGCCCCCCCTGCTCCCCCTGATCCCGCTGTTCCCCCTGCACCTCCTGCTCCGCCTGCATTCCCTGATGGGTCCCCCCCCGTGTCACCCCCCTCCTCATCACCCGTCTCCGAACCAGAGTCGGAGGGTTGTGGGGGGGCGATGGGCGGAAAGCCGGGGATGCCGCCGCGGTAGGACACGATGGGTGGGGCGGAGCGGAGATGCACGATGTAGAGGGCGCGCGCGGGTCCTTGGGCGGAAGTGGCGGAAGAGGAGAAGGACCGAGCTTCTGCACAGCCGCGTGGTTTGGGAGGGAGGGAGAGAGTAAGGAGGGAAAGGAAAGAACGAGGGGAAGTGGGAGGGGAGGGAGAGAGGGGAGGGGGGAGGGGGAGGGGAAAGTGGGACGGGGGAAAGAAAGGGTGGCGGTAGAGTAGATGCGAAATGCTGAATCGGCGGGTACTTCGTCCAAGAACGAGAGGAGGTACGAGTTTAGTAGCTTATTGCAGCCCGAACTCCCCGTGCTGCCCATGCTGCCCGTGCCGCCCGTGCTGTTTGGTGCTGCTGCCCGTGCTGCCCGTCGCGCGCTACTGGAGGGCTACTGGAGGGCTACTGGAGGGCTACTGGAGGGCTACTGGCACAGCCTTACCGCGGATGGACAGGGACGATGGAGCGAGACAGGCGACGAGCAGAAGCGACAGAATCGCTGAGGCGACGGATGCGACAGGGAGTAGTGCTCTTCTGCGACGCGTGCGACAGAGAAAGATGTCGCCTGCGCCCATGCTTGGCAGACGCCGTGTGCGTGTTTCGCTCAAACCCCGCGACCACTGTGCGATAGAAACTCGTGGCGCAGGACAGGAGCGCGGGAGGGAGAGCGGCTGGGAGGGCGGAAGGGAATGGCAGAAGGGAAGGCGGAAGAGAAGGCGGAAGAATAGCCGGAAGAGAAGGCGGAAGATAAGGCGGAAGAGAAGGCGGGAGAGTGGGCGGAAGAGAAGGAAAAGGAGACGGCTGCAATGGTAATTCGCGGGGGAGGAGAGGAAAAGGAGAGTCCTTTCACTATGATCAATCTGCCTTTGTCATTGCATTAACTGCTGGTGTTAGTCTGTATGCCAGGGATACAAGTCCTTGCGTCGATGCCGTTATATGGGCCTAATACTAAGGCGATAATGGGCACACAGCATGGTCGTACTGGAGCTGCTATGGGTGCTCTACTGCATATAATGGATACGCATCAACGCTAGGACGCCTACCAGTGCTCTGCTGCTGTTGTCAGCAGAAATTTGCCACGCAGCCGCGGATTCTGTTTCCGCTAACCCACGGAGGCCAGTGCTTTCTCGACTCGTTTCTACCCAGTCCATCGGAACCTCCGTCGCTTCGTTCTAAGCCTCCGCGTCGTGCTAATTACAACTAGGAGGGGCAGATTATTTTGCTAAGGCCTGGCGTCAGGCCTTGGGTGGGAGAAGATTGGTCGGTCGGTGGGTTCACAAATCACGAGTCACGACACCACGAGAGAGAGGAGGAGCTTGCGAGATGTACAGTACAAGGGCGGTACAGTATAACGGTGTGCCGGGCGGAACTGTTTGGGCACGCTTTCGGGCAGGATGATTCACAGATTTGAATTTGAAGTTTCTGGCGCTCAAATGCAAGCCTTCTGTGTGCATGCATTTCTCAGAAACTGTCCGCTCCATTTAAAGTATCTATCCCTTTTCAATTATGCAGTCCAGTGTGCCCTTCTGGTGGACATCGAGGTGCTTTGCCAGCCTGTATGTTTCGACACCGGAGACCACCTGGAGGGACAGGTAATCCACGGCCATCACTCCATCGAAGGTAGCCCCTAGCGCCTTAATTCAACTTTGTTTTTTTGCCCAGCAGATGGTTGTTCAATCATTTGTTGAGATATCTTGCGAAGATTAAAGTTCGTAGCCGCTGTCCATCCTGACACAAAGCCGTGAAATTTTGAGAATCAAACAACAATGATGTGGAATGATCTAATGGCATGTCCCCTCTAGCAAATCAATCCCGTATAGGATCGATCTTAGCAATGCTAACATAATCACGCCTGAACAATCTCTTCACCTCTTTCTTTGACGATCATTGTGTCGTTATGGACACACCAATATTAAAATTATGGAGTCGATGTTGGGGCTATCGCAGGTGAGAGGATGGTCGAATATGTATGCAAAGCTAGTATTGCAGATTTTGCAACCACGTGAACCGATTGTGCTCAAGCATGGGCTCACATGCCAAGTTTGATGAAAACCGCCGATCCTGCTCCAATCCGCTACCAGAGACACGCCTAAATCTTTAGGAGGTTAGGGACAGCCAGCATGAGACCAGCCCGAAACGCTACCTATAAACGAGAATCAAGTGTTAAAAACGATGTTTATGTTTGGGCAGGGTATTCCGTTGACTGGGGGCAAAATAAAACAGTTTCGTCACTCCTAATCAACCAGGCGGCGCAGAGCTACAAACGAAGGCTGACGCGACGCGAGCCGCTGTGGAAAACAAAGGTTCAAATAACTTAGTTTGCATAACGCTACATCTACGGTAGTGCTAATGATGTGGAAAGGTTGTGTTCGGAATTAGCAACGGCCAAGATGATTAAAGCAACCTAGCTAAAAATCAACTGTACAGAAAGGTGGTTCGGTAAGTGCTATTAGTTAGTGAGAAAGATATCGTATACATCATCCCTACTATTCTGCAAGATTCAAAAACCTCGCTGCATCCGTAAAAGAAACCATGTGTCACGTCACGTCAAGTACAACCGCTGCCATCTCAGCATTTTCACTTCCTCACCCTCTGCACACCTCACACACGAGCCACAAACCAAACAATCCTCACCAGCCCAACATGTCCTGTGCCTGAAACACCAACCCCCATCTTACCCGCCCAACACCACCCCCTCTCCCATTTCCAAAAAGCCTACCCACCACTCACACCCTTCCTCCACACACCACCCATCCTCCTCCACACGCGACCCACCCTTCACGAGCAAGTCGTGAGCACAGACGTTGCCACATGCAGCAGCAGCTGCAGCTCCCGCACGACTTATGAGTCGACTTTTGAGTCGGCTCAAGAGCAAGTCGTGAGCACAGACGTGGCCACGTGCAGCAGCAGCTGCAGCTCCCGCATGACCTTTGAGTCGGCTCAAGAGCAAGTCGTGAGCACAGACGTGGCCACATGCAGCAGCAGCTGCAACTCCCGCACCACGCTCTCGCTCAGCCTCCCCGCACCCGCTCCCGCCGCACCCCCATCGGCCCCATCACCACCCTCAGGCTTAGCAGCAGCAGAAGCCAGCACGCGGTGCACTGCATGATATAGCTGCTCGAGAATAGGGCGCATGTGCACTCCCAGCTGGGGGTGGCGCGGCTGGAGTGTCATGAGGGACTTGATGAGCCAGGGCACCTTGGTGGCGGTGTCGGCTTGCAGGTCCACGCTCAGTTGCTGCACGAGGGAGAGGAGAACCCCCTGGCTGAGGGGTGGCGAGGCTGAGAAGACTGTCTCCGGTTTCACCTGGCGGGAGGGGGGAGGAGAGGGATGGGGGAGTGAGTGCAGGATGGGGGAGTGAGTGCAGGATGGGGGAGTGAGTGCAGGAGGGGAGGAGGTGGAGAACGGAGTGAAGGTTGGTGGGCTTGGAGAGGGGCGGGGATGAGCATTGAAGGTGACGAGGGACGAGAATCAGGAAAGAGGAGAGGGATTCAAGTTCAAGCGGAAGAAAGACATGAGCGAGCGGCAACAAGGAGAGGCGTCTGGGAGCAACAGAACACCTGCGACAACCAGAACAACTGGGAGCATCAGAACATATCCGAGCAGCAGCAGCAGCAGCAGCAGAGAGAGGAAGTGCACCTGGGAGCAGAGCCAGGTGACGATGGCGACGTCAGAGAGGGAAAGGGCGCGGGTGAAGGCAGCCTCGTAGCTGCCGTCTGCCAGCAGGCGCGAGATCTCCCTCGTGGGGTCTAGCGCTGCTTCCAGCTGCTCCAATGGCACCGCCTGCAGGGAGAAGGCAGGGTGGGGGATGGGATGGGGGAGGCGGGGAGTGGGGGAGGGTGGAGGGTGGAGGGTGGAGGGAGGTAAAACAAAGCGATTTGTTGTATGCCAGCAGACGCGAGATCTCCCTAGTAAGGTCCAGTGCTGCTTCCAGCTGCTCCAACGGCACCGCCTGCTTCAAGCACCGCAGCAGCAGGGAGAAGGCGGGTTGGGGGGGAATCAGGGGGGGCTGCGGAGGGGGGGGGAGCGGTCTGTTTGTCCAACTACAAGTGACGAATCTTCCTGGTGGGTTCCAGCGCTGCTTCTAGCTGCTCTAGAGGCACCCTTGCCACGAATCCAGTGCTGCCTGCAATCACGTCAAGAGTCGCCAACAAGCAGGCAGCGCAGCAGCACCAACCAGCGCACAGTGAGGAGAAAGGGGAGCGAGGCGGTGCAAGAAACAAAGGGAAAGGCGGGTTACAGAATGAAATCTTTGGACGAATACAGATCCATGTATAAAATCCATCCACTCACCTTTCCAGCCAGCCCGTTCCCCTGCGCAGTATCAGCAGCTGCTGCTGCTGCAGAGCCCTTGCTTCCTGCTGCCCCTGGCGCTGCTACTCCTGCTGCTGCTGCTGCCGGGGCTGCAGCTGTGGGAGCAGCGGCAGCAGCAGGCAGGGCAGTGAGAGCCTGCAGATGCTGCTGCAGAGTTGAGGAGACCGAGTTGAGCGATGCAACGGACTCCTGCACGTGGGTGGAGAGAGGAGTGGGAGAGAGGAGAGAGGAGTGGGAGGGAGGAGAGAGGAGTGGGAAGGAGGAGAGAGGGGTGGGAAGGAGGAGAGAGTGGTGGGAAGGAGGAGAGAGGGGTGGGAGGGAGGAGTGAGGAGTGGGAGGGAGGAGAGAGGGGTGGGAGGGAGGAGAGAGGAGTGAGAGGGAGGAGATGGGGTGGGAGGGAGGAGAGAGGGATGGGAGGGAGGAGAGAGGAGTGGGAGGGAGGAGAGAGGGGTGGGAGGGAGGAGAGAGGGGTGGGAGGGAGGAGTGAGGAGTGGGAGGGCGGATTGAGGAGTGGGAGGGAGGAGAGAGGGGTGGGAGGGAGGAGAGAGGAGTGGGAGGGAGGAGAGAGGGGTGGGAGGGAGGAGAGAGGAGTGGGAGGGACGAGAGAGGGGTGGGAAGGAGGAGAGAAGGGAGGGAGGGAGGAGAGAAGGGAGGGAGGGAGGAGAGGGGTGGGCGAGAGGAGAGCGGGGTGGGGAGAAAACATCTTGATAATTGAGGCGGGTGAAAGAGGGGAGGAACCAAACCACATAATGGTTGATTTTTCCAGTAGTTGGTGACTTAGAAGGGGTGTAAATCGAGACCTTATCGAATACCAGGCAGAGCATTGGTTACCTTAACCCCCATTTTCTTAAACCTTGGCAAATACAAAACCATGAAAGAAAGGAGAGGGGGGAAGGCCGGGGGAAGGGGAAGGGCGACAATGGTAGGAAGGAATGAGGGAGAGGGAGAGAGCGATACAGCAGAGATTGCAAAGACTCCAGGTACTCCAGATTCTTCAGCTACAGCAGTAGCGCACGCATACGTACGCGCACGCACGCACTCACGCATCCCCACATCCACCCCCACCCCCACCCCCCTCCACCACCACCCCCCCCCCACCCACCCACCCACACAACGCACCTGGATGGAGGCCTTAGCAGCAGCAGTCACGCCCTGCATCTCCTGCTGCATCTTCACCACCTGCTGCTGCTGTAGCGCCGCCAGCTGCTGCTGAATCTGCCCCTCAACCGCTCCCTGCACCGCCGCCTGCACCGCTGCCTGCACGGCCGCCTGCTGTGCGGCCTGCTGCGCTGCGAGGCCGGAGCGCAGGGAGCGGTCGAGCTGCGAGAGCATCTCCCGCACGGCCCGCTCCATGGCCGGTACTGCTGCCTCTGTGAAGGCCCGCTGCACCGCATCGGATAGGGACGCCTGCAGGGATGACTGGAAGCGGGGGGAGGGAGGGGATGGGATGGGACGGGTGGTGGTGGAGAGGTGGTGAGGTGCAGTGATATGGATGATGCCCCATCATGGATGGAAGGACTTCTTCTGAGGCGCCTCAGAAGTAAGCCTGCACAGCCGCCTGTTGCGCAGCCTGATGGGCTGCAAGGCCAGAGCGCAGGGAGCGGTCGAGCTGAGAGAGCATCTCCCGCACGGCCCGCTCCATGGCGGGCACTGCTGCCTCTGTGAAGGCCCGATGCACCGCATCGGATAGGGACGCCTGCAGGGAGGACTGGAAGGGAAGAGGAGGAGGGGGGGGGGGGGGAGGGACGGGTGGTGGAAGAGAGGTCTTTCGAGGCACCCCAGAGGGAGAGCATCTCCCGCAGGGCCTGCTGCATGGCCGGCACTGCTGCCTCTGTGAAGGCTCTCCGTACCGCGTTGGATAGGGACGCCTGCAGGGAGGACTGGAAGGGAAGAGGGGGGATGCGTGGTGGATGAGGAGAGGCACGGAGGCGCGTTAGAAGGTGCGAGCCACGCCAGGGATGGAAGAGCGGCGGCGCTAGAGAAGAAAATGCTTAAGAAAATGCTTGGGAGAACTGTGCCGTAGCTAAGGGGAATAATTGGGAAAACCGTCAGGGACTGGGTGATGAAGGAGAGGATTTGAAGGCTTGAGAGTGGTGCTTGCTAGATGTAGTGTCAATGGTTGAAATAAAGAGCTAGGGCAAGCGAGGAGTGGAAATGGCCAGCCGAAAGAATCCAAAGGGACGAGACAATGGGGTTGGAAAAACAAAGAGTGGGATTGGTAAACAACAATTGCAAAAAAACCAGACAATCGCAAGCAACGGGGAGGAGGAGAAAAGAGGGTCGGGGGGGGATCACAAACGCACATGTAAGGTTGTGTGTGAGTGAGAAACTGAGAGGTTTTGAGGGAGAGACAGCGGGGGGGTGGGAGGGACGAGAAGCAAGAGGAAGGCAACGAAGGGGAAGGCAGAAGGAGCAGTTGAGGCTTACAGCGACGGCTGGTGGGATGAGAGCGGTGGTGTGCGTACGCACATCCTCTGTGAGGGTCTGCCCAAGAAGCTGGCATGCATGGGATAGATGGCATGGCATGACATGACATGGAATGACATGGCACGAATGGCATGGAATGACATGGCATAGAATGACATGGCACGAATGGCATGGAATGACATGGCATAGAATGACATGGCACGAATGGCATGGAATGACATGGCATAGAATGACATGGCACGAATGGCATGGCATGGAATGACATGGCACGAATGGCATGGCATGGAATGACATGGCACGAATGGCATGGCATGGAATGACATGGCACGAATGGCATGGCATGGAATGACATGGCACGAATGAATGGCATGGCATGGAATGCCGCATGCAGACAGTGAGCAGCAGAACGAGAGGTAAGGAAGCACACAGGAGAGGCGAGACTATTGAGACAAAGCTAAAGTAGACTCGTCACATAAGGAGGCATGCGGAGGGGCAAGGAAAGGGTTGATGGAATCACAGCAGGCCGAGGGAGGGGTGCTGCAAACTGACAGGTGACAGGTGACAGTTGACAGTTCACAGTTGAAAGACGAATAAATTATCAATGAATGGAGCAGATAAGAACGTCTTAAGCCACTTACATTCCACAATGACCCCTCATTGCATCCCATGGCCCATCCATTTCCACCTCCCCCTTACACCTCTCACCCATCCCACCCACCCACACCCACCCTCCCCCTCCCCTTCGCGATCCTTGACCCGCATTCCCATGCCCCTTTCTCTTTCCCTCCCCCTCCCGCTCCCCCTCCCCCTCCCCATCCCCATCCCCATCCCCATCCCCTCCGCCACCACCAACCCACCTTGATCTGAGCCGAGACCGCTGAGTCGAGAGCAGGCAGCACGGCGCTACGCACAGCCCCCACCACCTCCCTCGCCACTGCGCCTTCCACTGCCGGAACCACCTGCTGTGCGGTCCCACTCACCACCGCCGCCGCCACCGCTGCCACCATCTGACCCTGCGCTGCCTTCTCGGCCTTCTCCCGTTTGGCAGATTCTTTTGCTAGGTCTTCCTGGATTCGGGACTGGCATGCGTCTGCGTGGGTCTTGGTGGCCCGGTCTACGCGCTGGGAGAGGGCCGCTTCGAGGCGCTTCGTTTCCTTGAGGAGAGGCGCGGGGACGTGCTTTGCTGCCTCCCGCTGCTGCTGCAGGAGCTGGTGGGGGGAGGAGACGGAGGGGAAGATGGGGGGATTGGACGGGAGCAGAGAGAGGAGGGAGAGGAGGGAGAGGAGGGGGGAGGGGGGGAGAGGGGAGACATGGTGAATCGGGAGGGGAGAAGGGAGAAGGAAATTGGGGAAGAAACAGGAGAGGAAGTGGAGTAAGGGAAAGCAGGAGAAAGGAAGTAAGCAACGCGTGTGTGTGACCGAGGGGATGCAGGGAAGGGCAGACAGACCCGGGGGCTAGTGTGGGGGAGGAGAGGAGCGATGAAGAGGGGAAAGAGAAACGCGCGAGAATCACAAAGGGCGGGGGCAACGAGCTTGAAACACCCACTGATTGGACAGTCGAATGCAGTGCTGCCACGTCACTCTTGAGTGCCTGGATGGACGCTGACATAGCTGCCACGTCAGCAGACCCAGCTGCCCCGGCAGACACAGCAGGAGCAGCCCCGGCTGCAACAGCACCAACAGTCGGTGCAGGCAGCACAGGCGAAGGTGCCAAAGCTGCTGTTTCTGCTGCTGGTGATGGTCCTCCTGTTGCTGCTGCTAGCATAGCGGCAGCGGGGGGAGCAGGAGCAGAGTCAGAGGGAGCAGCAACCGAAGCTGGTACTGTCACCTGAGTGTGACCCTGAGGGTGCGTCTCATCTGCTCCGATTGCCGGCACGATCACAGCACCACCCACGCCACCAGCACCAGCACCACCAGCAGCACCAGACCCAGCATTTGCTGCTGCCGGTGCCGTACCCGCGCTACCAGCAGCAGCGGCAGCAGCAGCGGCGGCAGTCTTGTGCTTGTTCTTGCGGTTCTTATGGGAGCCATGGCCAGCGGCATGGACAGGGCCATGCACATGCACGCTGCTGGGAGCAGCAGCAGCAGCAGCAGCAGCAGTTGCGGCAGTGCTTGCAAGAACAGCTGCCTGCTGCACTGCTGTTGTTGCAGCAGGTGCTGTTACCACTGGTGCTGGTGCTGCAGTTACAGGTGCAGCAGGAGCAGGCACTTGAGTTGCTGCAGTGGGAGCAGTGGAATCAGCAGCAAGTGGAGTGGAAGCGACTGGCTCTGCTTTCGCTGGAGCTGTAGCCGCCGCTGCTGCTGCTTCTGCTGCTTCTGCTGCCGGTGCTGGCGCTGGCGTTTCAGGCACAGCAGTTGCAGGGGCGGGAGGAGGTGCCTTTGCTGCAGCCACGCTGCTTGCAGCAGCAGCAGCAGCAGCATCGCGGTACGAGATGGGGCCCTTGTTGCTCTCTCCACCTCCTTCGCTACCTCCCACTCCTTTCAATGCAACTGATGATTCCGCTGCGCCCTTCTCCTCAGCAGCCTCCGCCTGTAGCCGATCAGCAATAGCAAGAGCGCCATCAGCAAGAGCACGAGCGCCATCAGCAGAGGGAGCACCATCAGCAGGGAGAGAACCAGGCGCCACCACTGCAGCCCCTCCTTCGGCTGTTGCAGGAGCCGCAGCCAGGGGAGCAGCAGAGGGAGCAGCAGGAGCGGTGGCACTGGCAGTGGTGGGGGAAGCAGTGGCAGTGGCAGCAGGAGAGGGGCCACTCATGCCCATAACCATGGCCAGCAGTTCCTGGGGCGTCACTAGGTGCGGACGCCCATCTGTCCCTCCTCCTCCTCCACCTGCCACCGCAGCTGTTCCGTCTGCTTCTGCTTCTGCAGCTGCCCCTAGTCCTGTTTCTTTGCCCTCCGCTTTCTCTTCCTTGACTGTACCAGCACCCCACACGTCTACCGGGCCTGACACTACTGCCTTTTCTGCTCCTGTCCCTTCTTTGCCTGCTGCTTCTGCTGCCGCTGAAGCTGCTGCTGGCTCTGCTGCTGCTGGTTCTGCTGCTGGCGGTGCCTCTGCCTGTGGTGCAAGCGTCTCTGCTGCTGTGATGGCCGGCGTTTCGTCTTCCGAGGAAGGAGGTAGGCACATGTCAACAGGGAGGGAGTATTGCTGTATGGCCTGTGTCTGCATGCAAAACAGCTGCACCAACTCCACCTCACCCGACCCATCATTACCATCCCAGCCACCACCCTTCCCACCCCCTCCCTCACCTCCTCCTCCTCCTCCCCCTCCTCCCTCACCACCACCATCACCATCCGCACCCCCTCCCCCACTTCCAGACTCCCCTCTCCCCCCATCCCCTTGCTTCCCCTCTCCCCCTGCCCCTGCGCCCCCACCTGCGCCTTCCCCCTGCGCGCCCTCCTCTGCCCCGTCCCCATTAGGAGCAGCCAAATAGGCAGTAAAGCTAAGAATAGGCATGGTAACGGAAAAGTGAGCGATGGATTGGAAGCGGGAGAGAGTGGGGGAGGCCGGGTCGAAGCGGACAGAGACAGCGTAAATTGCCTTCTGGAGTGCGTCGGTGAGGAGGACAAGACCCAGGGATTGCACCACTTGCAATTGGCAGAACACCCCGCTGCTGCCGCTCACACCCACGCTGCTGCTGCTGCTGCTGCTGCTGCCGCTGCTTTTTGCAGCAGTGGGTTTGAGCGGGGGAGCGTCGGCTAGAAGCTGCAACGTGTGAATGCAGCGCCAGTTGTCCTGCTGCACGCTGCTGGTAGAGGAGGGAGAGGCGGAGGAGGAGGAGGAGGTGGAGGTGGAGGCCCATAGCTTTAGCTCGCTGTTGTTGGGACCCTGTATGGGTGGTGTTTGCGAGGGATGGCCAGACGAGCGGGATGAGGGAAGGAAAGAGACAGGAGCACACATGTGTGTGAGGATTCGCCTGCAGCTGCAGCCAGGCTGAAAGGGACAAGACGGGCGTGAAATTGATTGACTGTTTTGACCGTGTACCCATACCTACCCCAACGAACAGAGCAGAGCACTAACCCGGTGAGCAGGAGTACATCACCCCCGCAGTGAGCAGAGCAGAGCACATAACCCTTTCAGTGAACAGAACATGCACCGGAGCAGAGCAGAGCACATACCCCGGTGAGTAGGAGTGCGTGGTTGGAGGGAGCCGAGGGCGGGAGCAGGAAGAGGGCGGAGAAGACAGGCTGAGAGGCGTGTGGAGTCATGGCAGACACACACACCGTGCTGCTCCACACTCGCACCTGGTGGGAGAATAGGCGAGAGGTGGTGGAGAGGGGTTTTAAGGAGAGGGGATGGAGGAGGAGAAAACTGTGATAGTATTTGCGCATGATTTGAAGGGAGTGAATAAAGCAAGGAGAAGACTGGGGGGAAGAACGGGGCAGCAATTGGGGGAGAGGAGGAACGAGCAGCAAAGGGAGGGAGAGAGGAAGGGAAGGTGGGCAAGGGAAGGGGGGGAAAGTGGAAAAACACTGGGTTGGAAACAGTTCTTCAACCACCCACCCATCAACACGGTGCCACGCCATGCCACACCATGCCACACCGTGCCACACCGTGCCACACCATACCACACCGTGCCACACTGTGCCATACCATGCCACGCCATGTAAAACAGCAAGCGCCGTATTCTGAGAACCCTCAAAGTTCATATCGACCTACCGTGCCGTCTAGCGAGGGGGTCGGGAGCAGCGTGCAGGCAGAGGGCTCGGGCAGCAGAGAGGGCACAGGCGCGGAGTGCCCCTTGAGAAGAATCACCCCCTCCACTATCGCCCGCGCCTCAGCTGCCACTCCTGCTGCCCCTCCTGCTTCTGGTGCTGCTGCTGCTGCTGGTGGTGCTGGTTCGTTTGTGAGATCGATGACAAAGGGATCGGAGAGCGAGGGAGGCTTGGTGGGCGCTGCTGCGGCTGCTGCAGCGATGGAGACAAAGAGGACGAAGCGGTCGCACGCGACTATGAGGATGTCCTGTTGGGGGGAGAGGTGGGGGAGAGGCGGGGAAGCGTTGGGAGGGAGAGCGGGGGAAGGGAGTGGTGGATGGGATGGTGGGTGTGGTACACAGTGGAGGGGGGGAGTGGAAGTGGGAGCGAGTGGAGAGCGGGAGAGTGGAGAGCGGGAGAGTGGAGAGCGGGAGAGTGGAGAGCGGGAGAGAGCAGTGAGCACAGAGTTCAAGGGTAAAAGGGCGGAGGCGGAAGGGAGGGAGGCCAGGATGCGAGGGGCAAGGGGCCGACGTGACAGAGAAGGGAACACATCAGAAAGGCGAGAACAGCAGAATGGGAGGGAAGGGGGGAGGAGAAAGCGAAAAAATTGAGCTGCGGGGGGAACAGTGGAACAGAACAAGATCCCCCATACACCCAAGGCACCATCCCTAGCCACAACACTTGCTGTCCCAAAAGCCACACGCCTCCTTCCCTCCCCTCCACGCCTCCTTCCCTCCCCTCCACGCCTCCTTCCCTCCCCTCAAACTCCCTCCGCCCTCCCCTCCACGCGCCCCTCCTTCCCAACGCACGTACCTTCTGCCGGGGGTGCCAAGCCAGCTGCGGTGCAGCAGCGTCCCCCCACGCTCCCTTGAGCTGCAGCACCGCCAGCACACTGTTTGAGTCAACTCAGCCACGCGCGTACCTTCTGCCCGTGCCCACATACACGCCTTCTGCCAGGGGTGCCAGGCTAGCTGCGGCGCAGCAGTGTCCCCCCACGCGCCCTTAGCTGCTCCACTGCCAACACACTGTTTGAGTCAACTCAGCCACGCGCGTACCCTCTGCCCGTGCCCACATACACACCTTCTGCCGGGGGTGCCAGGCTAGCTGCGGCGCAGCAGTGTCCCCCCACGCGCCCTTGAGCTGCAGCACTGCCAACACACGCTCGCCAATAGCCACCTTGCCGTCGCTGCCCGGCCCCTCCTCCACCCGCCGCACCACCACCAGCCCGTCCGCACTCGCACTGATGATGCCCCGCGCGCACAAGGGGGGATTGGGTAGGAGGGGAGGGGAGGGGAGAGGAAAGGAGGTGATAAGAAAAACAGATTTGGTCAGCATCACTGCTGAGACCCTCCTCCACCCGCCGCACCACCACCAGCCCGTCCGCACTCGCACTGGTGGCCCGCAAGGGGGGATAGGGGGACGGGACGGAGGGGAGAGGAGGGGAAGGGGGAGGCAGGGTCGCAGGGGAAGGAGAGGGGAGGAGGGAAGATGAGGGGAAGGAGGGGACGGAGGGGATGTTTTAAGGCACCTAAAAGCAGCGTCCCGCGCAGCCTTGAGCTGCAGCACGGCCAGCACACGCTCGCTGATGGCGGCCTTGCCGTCTCTGCCCAACCCCTCCTCCACCCACCCGCCTCACCACCAGCAGCCCATCCGCACTCGCACTGATGATGCCCAGAGAAGAGGGGGTTGGGGCGAGGGGAACAAAGGGAGGAGAGTGGAGGGGAGGGGAAGGAGGAGGGAGGAGGGAAAGGTGGGGAAGGAGAGGTGTGGAGCAGAAAAGAGGGGAGAGGAGGGAAAGGAGGGACAGGATGGGAGAGGAGGGGAAGGAGGGGAGGGGAGGGGAAGGAGGGGGAGGAACGGAGAGGAGGGGAAAGGAGGGGAAGGAGGGGAGGGGAGGGGAGGGGAAGGAGGGTGGGGAACGGAGAGGAGGGGAAAGGAGGGGAAAGGAGGAGAGGCGAAAAGAGGAAAATAATGGCACGCGAGGGGGAGAATGCGGCAGGAGCTAGAGGAGACAGCATGCAAGCAGCGTTCTGATTCAACCAGTGATGAACCACGGCCGCCCCTTTCCTTCCTCCCTCCCTTTCCCTAACGCCCCGCTGACCTGGCCATAATGTGCTCGTCCTCCGCAAAGAACACCATTTCTGTGAGGCATCTGTGATGGCTGCACGCAGGGCGCGACGGTGACTCTTGAGTCGACTCACAAACCAACGGCCTGGTTCTTAAGGCGCCAAATAAAGTGAATCGACTAAAAAACCACTGACCAGGCCATGAGGTGCTCGTCCTCTGCGAAGAAGAACAACATATACATGATGCGAGCTGCACGCAGGGCGCGCTGACTATTGAGTCGACTCAAAAACCAACCCCTTGGTTTTTGAGGCGCCTAAAAAGGATGAGTCGACTCAACAACCGTGCCCCACTGACCTGGCCATGAGGTGCTCGTCCTCTGCAAAGAACACCATATATGCGATGCGCTGCACGTAATGAGACGATGTTTGAGTCGACTCACAAACCGCGTGCCTCACTGACTGACTCACTGACTGACCTGGCCATGAGGTGCTCGTCCTCTGCAAAGAACACCATATCCGTGATGCGCTGCACGCAGGGCGCGATGGGACGCATGGGCGGCGGAAGGCCGGGAAACGGAGAACGTGGAGGAGGAAGGGGGGACGAGGGAGGGAGGAGGGAGGAGAACAGGATGAGGCAGACTGAAGAAGAGAGTGAGGGGAGCGAGAACGGGGGGCGAAAGAAATGACGGTGGGGAATGCGGCCGAAAGAAACGAATACGAATTCAGGTCACTAAGGGCCGGAAGGGGAAATGAGAAATCCAAACACATACGCTCCCACCTAACTCCTCAAAATAATTCCCCCACTCTCGCCTCCCGCTCACATCCCTCCCACGTTTCCGGACCTCCCTTTCCCCTTAACAACAGCCTTCGACCCCTCACGAACCCCACCCGCCACACCTTCTTGTGCCCCTTAAAGAGCGCGCGCAGGGCCGTATTGATGTTTAGCACACGGATGCTCGCGTTCCTGAGCGCATAGCTAATATACCGCCTGTTCACTGCTATCTGTCTCCCCGGCGCTAGCACCTCCTCTGACCCGTAAACCGTTATAGGCGACACCTCCAGCTGCGGCGGACCTGCTTCTAACGGGTCACGCTTATCCACCCTGTAGGAAACCACCTCCGCGTTTCCAGGTAAGAACTTCCCCACTCCGCGCTTGGATCTGCGCAGCTGGAGCGGAAGGGCGCTGCGGGGCGGCTCAGAATGTTCCGCGGCTGCAGGGAGCGGGGGAGCGGAAGGGGGAGCGGAAGGTGGAGGAGCGGAAGCAAGCGCGGAAGCGGCAGCTGGGGGGGTGGCGGAAGGGGGAGGAGGAGCGGACGGGGCAGCGGGCTCCCTGGGGGGAGTTTGAGGGGCGGTTGCTCCTGTTGCGCCGAAAAGAGCGCCGAGCACAGGTGGAAGGGAGGATGGGGGTGGCGCGGAGGGGGCAGAAGGGAGAGGAGGAGGCGCAGCGGGTTCCGGAGGAGCAGGCGCACTGGAAGAACAAGCGGGCGCTTCTACTGGGGCGGAGGCGTTCTCCGCGGCCGCTGGCGCAGCGGGGGAGGCGGAAGAGGGAGGCGGATGGGCCTGCGCGGGCGGCGGCGGAGGCTGCGCACCCGGAGGCGGGGGAGATGCACTCGCGGTGAGCAACGACATGAGATGCGCGCCGTGGAACGCGGGGGCGGGAGCGGCGCTCGGGGGCAAGGGGGCCGGCGCAACCGGCGGTGGAGGCGCGGGTATGTGCATGGGCGGAGACGAGGGCGGGTATTGGTACTGCGGCGCATGCATGTGCAGCATATGCGGGGGAACTCCGGACGGACCAGGGACCACATGCATCACGGGATGGCCGTGCTGGTTCAGCATACCGGGAAGAGGAGGCGGCGGAGGAGAAGGCCCCGATGTGGGACCGTGCATGCCTTGTAACGGGTATGGCATGGGTGCGCTGGGGTGCATTGGATGAGGCAGAAGGTGGGGATGCACATGGGATGGGGGGGGACCCATCCACTGACCGTACCCGGGGGGAGGGGGGGAGGAGGGTATGCCGGGAGGGGGAGGCATGGGGGGAGGGGGACTGGGAGTATGGCCGCCTTGGTTGGAGGCAGCGGCTGATTGTTGCAGTAGCGTCAATATCGGATTCGTCGGGTGCTGCGGCGACTGTTGCGGCTGTGGCTGCGGCGGCTGCTGCTGTTGCTGCTGCTGATACTGCTGCTGATGATACTGCTGCTGCTGCTGATACTGCTGCTGCTGATGCTGATACTGTTGATGCTGCTGCAGCTGCTGCAGCAGCTGCTGCTGCTCCTGCTGTTGCTGTTGATGCTGCTGCTGAGAATGATGATGTGGAAGGGGCGGCTGTCCTAACGCTCCATCCTGTTGCGGGGACGGCTGTTGCTCATGCCCCTGCGGCACTTGTCCCTGCGGCTGTCCCTGTGGCTGTCCCTGTCCCTGTCCCTGTGCACCTGCGCTCTCATCTTGCTGCTGCTCAGCCTGCTGCTGCTGCTGCGCTTTTGCAGAAGCCGATTGAAACAGCTGCTGAAGATTCAACATCTCGGCAAATCAGGAACCGCTTTCCTGGAATAGCACGGCACGGCACGGCACGGCACGACACAGACGACACGACACAGAACCAGCCGTCGGAGGGGAGAGAACGCGCAATGAGTTACAGAAATGCAGAAGGACCATTTATATGCTGGGTTCTGAATCAACTGCTGTTCCTCTCAAACAAATCGAAATATCGGGATATTTCAAATCCAGCACGGCCGACCTCGACTGAGCGTCACACGTTCCGAAAAAAAATCCCGCGGAGACTGAACAACATGAATAAATCTCCTTTAACGTTTCCTAACTGCTAACGTTGGATCGATAACCGTGATTATGATCAGCGCGACGAAGCGAGCGACCAGCATATTATAGCGAGCTGAATTCACGACAAATAAAATCCGACAACAACGGACGTGATAAAAAAAATACTAACGACGAGAAAACATTAGACCAAATGCATCATACCTCTCTCGTTTAATAAAAAAATACGAGGAGGAGGCGGATCACCGGCAAGCTTGAGCAACACTATCACAAGACACGGAAAGGCTAGTCACTCAGCGAAGCTCAGACCAGATAGATGCGTCCAGATACGCGACGACCTGGCGGATTATAATATGGCTGGAGCTGGAAGGAATGCTTCGTCTGTGGTGAGAAATTGCATTTTGATTTTGCCAGTGTCGGATTAGGGGGTTGTGTGGAAAGAAGATGAAAAAGCCAGTTGCCCAAAGGAAGATTAGGGGAGAGTTGGGAGAGTAAACGAGAGTTGAGAGTGGGTGGGATTGGGAATTGGTTGGCGTAGAACGTGGTTACGTTACATGGAAGGAGTTCGTGTATGTTCGCATTCAATCTGCATCGAGCTGTGGCCAATTGCCATGCAAGTAACTTCGTGTAGGCCAAATGTAAGGAATTTTGGATTCCTTACTGGGTCACACTACACGCGTACAACCCCGGTTTTCGGAAAACCAGGCTCGGTCCGCCGACCTCGCCTTCCGAGCCACCACCGCGTCGCCTTCGGGTTTTCCAATCCCGAACCTGCACCCAACCATCTCGCGACCCCGCGACCTCGGCCTAGCTAGCATTGCTGTAATAGTCCTAGGCCTCGTTGTTTTCTCAGACATTGTAATCACTTCCGCATTATTGAGTTCTGTGCACTCTTCCTTTCACAACTCATAACACCTGGTATTAGAGCCTAATTTCCTAGGTTACCCTCGCGTTTCCGGGGTAGTTTGTATAAGGGGGGCGATAGACTTGGTGGGCTGTAAAGCGGTCAGCCCGTGGAATAGATACGATTATTCCACTCCGACTACGATAGCATTTACGCCTTCACCGAAGTCAGAAAAATCGCCAGCCACCCCCTGCCCGTTCGACGAAGCCTGGGGCACATGGAACATGCCGAGTTTAACGAGTTCATGCAACAGTTCCGTGCGATGCAGGCCAACTTGCAGGGCATGACTGCAGAGATGGAGCGTCTACGGAAGGAAAACGCCGAACTACACCAGGCGCGTGGTGAAGCGCGCCAGGAGTCGCCTGTCGTGGACGACGCAAGTAGCAGCACTGCACCAGATGAGCGGGTCTGGAGCGAGCTGGAAGGCGAGATGGATGCAAACGAGGCGAGGCCAGAGCTCCAGATTGGTTTTGGGCCACCCTTAGTAATCAGGGTTCAATGTATAGTCAACCCTGATACGTAGGGTAACTTTTCTGTTTGCCTGAAAAATGCAGGGTTAATAAAATGTTAGTATGTTTGGCCAGGGTGTTTTTGAAAACACGTTATATAAAAAACCAAATTAGTGCAGATCAGTAGTTAGTAGCTCCGTTGATTTGAATGCAAATATTATCCAAAGTTTGTATGTTCGAGTCTCGCTGATGGGAAGAGTATTTTGCAGGGGCCCGAGTAGTCGTTCGTCTCGCTACGGAGCTTTCGATATCATTCTACCGTACGGTATCTGGGATTGTACAGTGTTACAGTCAGGGAAATATGTTCCTTACGCTGTTTTTCAAAGGGTACAAAAAAACTTACACTTTCTGGCCTAGGGTAAAAAATCCAGTACCCTGCCTGTGAAAGGGTAACTGAAAAAAAGCAGCCGCCAGTCAGTGCAAAAAGGGTATTTTACCCTGATAACGAGAGGCCTGGGCGAGGCAGACGCAGCAGCAGCAGTCACCGCAACAGTCGCATGTAGTACCGACACGTGCAGCAGCGAGGACGACGGCGACGCCAACAGCGATGCCAACAGTCCCAGTGGCAGCAACGGCTTTGAAAACTGTGAGGAAAGTAGAACGAGAATGATTGACTAAGGAATGGAAGTGATACAAATATGCAACCCTAGAAATGTGTACCCCATATGGGCTACCCCACTATAGCCTACACAATATTATAATTTGACACACCCCCATAGGCAAAGTGGGGGAGAACAAGGGGTCACAAGACCAGTCAAGCAAAGCAGACAAAGCTCAGGGTGGATCACAACGTCACCACACAGTCCGAGCACAAGGTCAAGGCCACAAGGCCAGTTCACATGCAGGAGTACACATATATATATAAGGCTAAACAAGCAAGAGCAGGTATATATATATGTAAGAGTACAAGCAAGGTCAAGGGGTGAGCAAGTGAGGCAAGACAGGCACAAGACCCAGCTGAGTGCAGAAGCGCTGATAATCACAAGGCGGAAGTGCCTTGGTGAAAACATCAGCAGTGTTGGCCTCAGAGGCCACGTACGCAAGTCGCAACTGACCACGCTGCTGCAACTCACGAGCAAGAAAGTAGTGGAGAGCAATGTGCTTCGTTTGTCAAAACTTAAGCTAGGCTAAGGAGCCATAGCTAGTTAGAACTAGAGTTTGAGTATCGAGCAGGTTGAGTTGAAGTGAAAAATATCGAGAGGAAAGAGGGGTTTCACTATAGGTTCAAGGGTACAAATAGGCAAGAATGAAGAAAGGCAAATGGTACACCACCTAGCAGGAAACTAAGATAACTACACTAGGCTACTGTAGGCATTTATATGAAAGTATACAAATACATTTCAACACACCCCCTAAATGCCTACAGTGGAAACCCGTGTGTAGCACAAAGTCTGCAGGGGTACAAGGTGCAATGGAAGAAACAGAAACAAGCAAGAGCAGTAGTAGCTTCAAGTGTAAAACGCCCACGCTGGTCACCCACTCCATCCCCTCACCCTCCCCCTCCCCCTCCCCCCCACACTGCTGCAGGAGCAGCAGAGGGGGGGGCAAACGGAGGAGGATGGGGTCGTAGGGCCAGGGGACCACACATCACCCCCACACCCGCCACCCCCAGTCCCTCCCCGGGCTCCCCACACTCTCACACCCTCCCCCCCAGCGGCAGCTGCAGCAGAGGGAACAAAAGGAGGAGGAGAAAGGGGGGGGGGGGGAAGGGGGGGGGAGGGGCCGACGCACGGCCTCCCCGGGCGCCAAAGTAAGCGGCAGATGGGGCGACGACTCCCCCCCCCTTTCAGGTCGCCCCTCCCGTCACCTGTCAAGGCGACCTGAGGGGGCCGCGTGCGGCCCCCGAAGGAGCCGTGACAGGTGACGGGAAGAAGGGGGGGAGCGGGACCGCAAGTGGGCGGGGCCGAAGTGAGCGACGGGGCCGCAAGGGTGGGCGGGGCCGCAGGTGGCGACGGGGCCACACTTGGCGGGGCCGCAGGTGACATCGGGGCCGGGGCCGAGGGCGACGGGGCCGCAACAGAGGGCGGCGGGGCCGCAAATGTGGGCGGCGACGGGCCGCAGGTGAGAGTGGCGACGGGGCCGCAGTGAAGGGCGGCGAGGCCGCGACGTAGGGCGGCGAGGCCGCAGGAGTAGGGCGGCGGGGCCGCGAAGTGGGGCGGCGGGGCCGCGAGAGAAGGGTGGCGGGGCCGCGACCGTAGGTGGCGGGGCCGCAAAGGTAGATGCGGGGCCGCGTCCGTAGGTGGCGGGGCCGCGAATGAAAGGGCAGCGAGGCCGCAGTAGCAGGGCGGCGGGGCCGCGATAGCAGGGCGGCGGGGCCGCTAAGAAAGGGCGGCGGGGCCGCGAAGCGTAGGGCGACGGGGCCACTTAAGTAGGGCAGCGGGGCCGCAACAGTAGGGCACACCACGGGGCGTGCAGTACACTTAGTAGCAGCGGAAGCAGGAGTCCAGGAGCGTTACGTGCTCTGTACCATGTCAAAACTTAAGCTAGGCTAAGGAGCCATAGCTAGTTAGAACTAGAGTTTGAGTATCGAGCAGGTTGAGTTGAAGTGAAAAATATCGAGAGGAAAGAGGGGTTTCACTATAGGTTCAAGGGTACAAATAGGCAAGAATGAAGAAAGGCAAATGGTACACCACCTAGCAGGAAACTAAGATAACTACACTAGGCTACTGTAGGCATTTATATGAAAGTATACAAATACATTTCAACATCATTCTGTGCTCCAG